TTTCATATCTAAGTTTGGCTTTGGGGTAGCTAATAGCGTGTAATCTAATATCATATTTGATCCAGTCCCAAACGCAGCGTTTGTCAGACAGTTCATTTTCACCCTCTAGTTTCCATTTGGCTATATTAATTCGTAACTGTTCTAAGTAGTTTTCATCATCTAAAAGCGAAACATTCATTTTACATATTCCAGGACCTTTTATCTCTCCAATGTCACTTAGAGCTAAGGTTATGGCTGCATGATTTGTACGTATTGCAGGCACTGGCAGTATTCCAGTAACGTTCACAAAATCACAGAGATTATTAGAGATAAGCCAAAAATCTAGAGGACAAAGCACTGTTGGGGATTTTTGGCTCCAAGTATAACCTCTTGTTTGAGGATTCTTAATTCTCCAAAAATCAAATAAGTCCAGTTCGCTTTGTTAAGTTTCAATACTATCAATTGCTGCTCTTCTTAGAATCATGACACGGCCGTGCTGAGGTCATTGGATGAATATTTTTTAGGGCTAATTGGCGTGCATGAATTTTTTTTCATTGAATTTTCCCTTGCGTGAATATTTTTTTGTACTTCATCCGCCCCCCCCCCCCATAAGTTTTCTAATGGTCAGCACCTCAGTTCCCTTAACAACATGGAACTATATCACAGTACAGAGTAACCGTTGAATGTTAATCGTTAACAAACATTGTGCAATTTTTATAAACCTCTATTAAGCGGACACTCTCTTTTAACGGACACTTGGGAAGGTCTCCAAGGTGTCCGCTTAATAGAGGTTTCACTGCAGTTGTGAGCATCTCATTTAACCACAGGAAAAAGCTTCATCGACTACATATGATTACAAAACAGAAACTGGGATAAACTTACTTACCTATCCTGGGTCTTGAGAGGACTGGAACCTGCAACATTGCCTTATTCATGGGACTACTGGATAATCCGGGAGAGTTGACACATTATGTGACGTACAGGTTTTAAAAAATCCAAAGGCCAACAGTTGACACTTTGCAAGTCAATGAATTCCTTCACCATTCCGGAATTATCTTTTTACAGTTCCAAGTTAAATTCCATTCACCGTTCATTCATGACAGCATTAATTGATTCATTGCTTAATGCAGTTACTTGCTATTGAAAAGATGTCAATATTAATTAAGTTTTGATTTTCTTCAATGATCCTTCTTCTCTTTGTATACATTAGTGTTCTTGTTTTGATCATGAGTCCTGGATTGATTTGGCAGGAGGCTTTTTAATTCACATTTAATTTATATAAATAATTCTATGTCAGCATTTCATGCATCTGCTTTAGTATTTACGACTGCCGCCCGTCACGTAATTGGTTTGTTTACAATGCATGGTAAACCAACTATTCAATTGACAGCAATTAAAATGCACATGACTTTGTAACTGCTACAATTAATGCTAAAAAGAAGCCTCTGCTCGCAGGGTACAGCATTTTTACAGACCTGCTTGATATTATTTCAGCACATTCAAGATACGCTTTTGTTCACAATGCAGGCTCCGAACTTGTAGTACATCAGTAACTGTGAAACAAAGATGACAATTTAAGGTGTTGGTCAGTATTTTAACAAATGCGTGACATATACTGAGCAGAAAGTCCTTTACCTGCATTTAACTTTGTCGTGCCACCATGCTCAACAGTAGAACGAATTGGGCAAAGAAAAAGAACAAGACGCTAAGGAGCGTACACTTCGGCGTCGTGGTTGTGGAACTAATTAATTGTTAATGCGGAGGAATAGTAAGAAATGAAATATGGTAAGAGTGAGGTGTTAATTTGTGAAATTATGGGATTTGTCAGGATATTCTGAAAAGAGCAACATCCAAGAGGCCTACTTGCCAAGAACTAGCATTTCGGGACAAATTGTCTCTGAGATATTAGCCCAGTTATGCTCTGATGACTCCATACAAATCCTTCTAAATTTGACTTGGGTCTAAACGTTTAGACCTAAGTCAAATATGAGGTTACTGGCGGTGAATAACAAGTCTAACAAAACAAACAGTTACAAAAGAATTCTCTATTTTTCTTAGTCACAACAGGCTTCAAAAACAGCATAGCAGTCTCATGTACTGATTAAAGATATGTAAAGCATGGGTAGGGAGTCAATTACGTTGAGCATGGAATTGGCTGTTACGAGTTCGAATGTTTTGAGGATAATTATTCACTGACTATCAGCACGCAGGAATGTCGGATTAACATAAGGAAGTTTAATACCAAAGGAACATAGCCTTTTCAGAAATTTAAAACACAGCATCCGCCAACACAAACTTGAACTTGAACTTAAGTACAACTAAACAGCCTCTACCAATAATAACAAACTCTCACTTGAACTTCAGATATCTTACGACTTCCGCCAACTTGTAAACACAGAACTTGACAATCGGCCTTCGTCACACTTGACTAAACACAGCAGTCCAGCTCGTGGGAAAAAAACTTAGTTCGTCAAAAGACCTCGCTTGGAACTTGTATACCGTTTGACATAAGGTTCTAGAAAATACTAAAACGGGCGAATAGTAAAAGCGTTTCGACATATTTTATGATTTCAGTAACTGATACAAATCTGCTGACTCATGCTGAAATGTAAACATGCCCTCATTAATTATTCATGAATAATCCAAAAAAGTAGAGAACGTTCGAGAAAGTCACGCAACGCATGAAAGCAATTTCACTACGTAACACTCAACAAAGATAAAATGTCTTTGTGCAGCATTTTGTAACTTTAAATTCATCGTAAAGCAGTTCGAAAGGAGGGCCCACTCGTGAAATGTTTTTCAACACTCGAAGAAAAATTTCGTGTCTCTGCGCGGCCACGTAACATCCTCTATTTATTCCTCGAGTAAATTAAAGACTAAACTCGAAGTGATCTGAAGATATCACAAAGTAGTCCGGTTTCATTTCGTGAAATAGCCGAAACAAGCCGAAAAGTCGCAAACTTGCACGCCCAATCTTGTCCCGAAACTTGTGCATATTTCATAACTATTTTTCATATCCCAAACTGCCTTGGGTCGCAGTAGCGCAATCGGCTAATCCCTTAACTTAGAGTCTCCTCTGACCTGATGGGTCACACAGGCGAGGCGGTTCAAACCCGGGGAAAGCCAAAATAATATTTCTTTCTTCCTCGAAAAAGTTAAAGAATAAATCAAAGAAATCGAAGTGATCTGGAGATATCTCGAACTAATTCGGTCTCACTTCGTCAAATAGCCGAATAAAACCGAAAACCTACAGACTTTGCATGCCCAATCTTGTCAAAAAATTGTTACTTTGATACATTCCTGAGCGTCGCGAATCCTTTACTTCGCCCTCCGCCGAAGTAAAAAGTGAAGTCCTACAGGAGAGACCAGCCAAGCGATAGTCCATTTGTATTGAGGACAAACCTGAATCACCTGAGGGTGCAGATACAGCAGCGAGTGAATTACAAAAAGTTTCACTACTAAAGAAGGCAGGAGAGCAGCAGGTGGATGATCCTGCAGATGCTGCAACAACTGAGCATGAAAAAGCCATTGAACCATTCACCATTGACAGCATTGACTCAGAGCAAACCTTGAGGTGCTTTTTGCCAAACCAACCAGCTAGAAACCAGTGGAACTTTCAAGAGAAAATGGAGCGACATTTTTCAGTTGAAACAAAGTTTCACTTCGAATCAAGCGATCCATTTACATTTCTTCCGAAATTTGACCACTGCTTAGCAAAGTAGGACCCCGAATGGTGTGTGCTTAATTTCATTTAAAAACGAAATAAAACAGTTAAAATTGCAACAATGCAACACTAAATGATGTCTTACATGAGGTACATACTATCAAATTCACGATCATCGTGTTGATGCCGACAGAATCTTTGTCAGTGACTAGATACGTGCAAAAATGCGCCAGAAACCGTCCTACGAATAAGAAGAACTCACATTTTGAGGAAAACATGGGCTTCATCTCAAACTAAAGCACAGAAAAGATCAATGATTCTATCCGGGAGATCTAGTGACCCATAAGGGAGAACGGGAGATCGGTGTCGTATCCGGGAGACTCCCGGATAATCCGGAAGAGTTGGCATATATGAAATGCAGCTTCAGAAAAGGGCACCAAAGACCGACTCATGTAGTGTATCTGCAGAGACTGAAACGAACTTGTTTACATCATCCATGTATGTTATTGCAAGACGAACAGTTATTCCAGTTAGACTCTTCTGATTTCCTAGACTAAGGGAATGCTAAAACGTTTTTACCTGTAATTTTACAAGCACTTAGAAGATGTAGAATAAAAGTGGAATTTATGGTAGTTTTTCGTTGTTCTAGTGGTAATATTTTGTTAAATAATTATTGTAACGTTTTAATTTTAATCGCGAGCTACTGTAGTAATACCCGCGTATGAGAATCTACTCTTTTTGAAGTCTGGCGAAATAGATTGTTATATTTTGGGATACTTTTGGCGTTCAAGGTTAAAAGGTTCTTAATCAGATTCTTTTTAGAACCTAATTAAAATTTCTGTGAAGGAGATATAGTTGTTCTCTATCTGTGAGGATCGTGCAAAGATCTGCGAGGATTTTGGAAAGATTTGTGAGGGTATGACAAAGATCTGTGAGGATCGTGCAGACATCTGAGAGAATCTTGCAAAGATTTTTGAGGATATTTCAAAGATCTTTGAGGATCGTGCAAAGATCTGCGGTGATCGCACAAAGATCTCTCAGGATCTTGCCTATTAGAACTTTAAGAATCTTGCCAAGATCTTTGAGGATTTTACAAATATCTGCAAAGACCTTCAAGGATCCCTGAAGATCTTCTCCAGAACCTTGAGAATCTTGGCAAAATCTTCAAAGATCTTTGAGGATTTTTGATAAGAATCCTCAAAGATCTGCACTAGAATCTTTATGCAAATCTTCAAAGATCCTTGAAAGATTTTCACCAGGGAACAGCATTAGTAAGAACCAGTAACCATTCAGCAGGTAGGGTGATTGGACTCTAAGATAATGCTCTTCCAAAAAGTCGGTTTTGGTTGAGCAGTTTTTGTGAGAAATTCAGTATGGTTTAGTTGATGTTGAAACAGTCTCATCAACCCACCCAATATTTGTCTTGTTTGAATCATTATCTTGCACATTTATCTACTTTTTATTAATCCATCTGAAATTTTCATTTTTTTATCTACAGTGGGTCCTATATTTTCTTTGTAAAGCATTTATTTCTGCCAAAATTTTAATGTTGATTGAAGGTCAAAGTGGCTAATGTTCATGGGCCAATATTTGTGACTTAGTTTTACTAACAAAAACTTCTGTTGAGTCCTGTTAAATGCCTTGGAGGTATTAAGACTGTATTATGACTGTCTGGCTAATTCCGCCCTGGCATTGCTAAAACGAGGGCAAGGGTAAGACCAAGGGTAAGCGTATGGGTGAGGGTAAGGGAAAAAGTCAGGGAAAGACATATTGCTATTAAACAGAAAACAAGGCAGATAAGACAAATCTTTCAGATGGATAGCAAAAATTAGAGTGCAAAGCAACGCTAAAGCCTGAGCCAGTGGTGTGCAAGGTGTGGCTAGCCTTTTCTGGCTGCTAAATAAAAAGTTGTTGCTGTTTACAAATTTTATAGACCGAATCCAGGTTGGCATTACCTCTTAGTTAACAAGGATTGTTAGTATTATCGATAAAAGATTTGACGGGTTGGCCGCGCAGCCGCAGGAAGCCATAGTGGTTTGCTTCTAGACCGTAATTGGTGCCGATTCACCCCTAGCTAGGTGGTGGGTTCAAGAATTTCAACCCTAACCCTCACCCTAACCCTAATCCTAAGTGTCACCCCCACCCTAACCCTAACCCTAACCCTAATCTTAACCCCTCACTCTCACCCTCATTTCCTCCATAAAAATATCTCACACATCCACACTATCACTGCGAAAGCAAACAAGCTTCTTGGCTTGCTTAAACGGACTTTTCCCCTACTTTATGGCGTCTCTGTCAGGCGCTCACTCTATTTGTCTTTGGTCAAGTCACAGCTGTTTTACGCCACCCAAGTCTGGTCGCCCGCTTACGTTACTCTGAATGCTAAGGTGGAACAGGTGCAGAGACGTGCAAGCAGGTGGATGTTACGCACGCGTAAAGACGAGTCGTCGTACAAAGACCGGCTAACTTTGCTAGATTACTTCCACTTTCTCTAGATCGTGAACTTAAAGATTTGATCTTTTTTTATAAATGCCTTTACTGTAGTACCGGTTTAGATGTTCGGAATTATGTATCTTTTGTTTCCCATGATCGTACAAGACTAACTAACTTCTTAAATCTTCCCACTCCTTTTTGCAAAACATCAACTTTTCAGGCCTCTTACTTTAACCGTAGCGTTAAACTATGGAACTATGTTTGCAAGCTAACACTCCCAACCAGCTTTTCCTCGCCTACTGCCTTTCAACTTTTTGTTCGCAAATTAATGAGCACTCACCTTTCGCGGGTATATGAAATCAATTACCCCTGCACGTGGACACTAGTCCCTACGTACCCATGCCATGGGCATGCCATGTAATTTATTTTATTATTTTATTTTTTTGTACGAATGTTTGAGTATTTCTTTATTTTATTTTAACCTAGGTCTTAATCTAGGAGCGGTGCCTCGCATGGGATGTTAGTCCCGTTGCACCTACCCCTATTGGGTTTTTGCTTCTTTTAAGCTGTGGAAAAAAAATCCATGTGAGCACATAGGTGCTTGCTTTATATGTTATAGTTTGGGTTAACTAGAAATAAAGATAGTGCCATTTTGAGGCCAAAAGTTGATAAAGGAAATAAGTGCCCCTTCAAATAAGCGCCCCCTCCCCTCTTAGAAAATGAAATAAGCACACCAGCGCTAATTCGAGCATTTACGGTAAGTAAAAATATCAGTGACTCACTGATATTGCCATGTGTCCCTGATATGGGAGTGTTAATAATGTAGAGTGTAAGAGTCAGGGTTTAAGGGTTAGTGTGAGGGTGAGAAGCAAACATTAGTAATTTTGTACTATTACGCAGGTCACTTCGATAAAAATGCCGTATACGTCTCGTATATCGTATCGAGTACTGAACCTCGTTTTTCCTCGGGGGACGGGGGAGGGCGGTTATTTGAAGGGGGGCGCTTATTCCAAATTTTAAGCATGAGGAGGGGCGCTAATTCGAGCATTTATAGTATCTGAAAAATTTCCCTTCTTGTATAATTAGTACTAGTTAATTTAGTTTTATGTTTTTTTTTAATGCATAGTAGCCATCTTTAAGGATGTGGAAAAGGAGGTAACTGAAAATGCTGGAACTGTATTCCAAGAGTCTTCAGGGCCTGATGTTAAGAAAGGTTGTGAAAAAGTTACGCTTTTGAAAACATCTGAGGATCCAGGATCTAACACAGTCAAGCAGGAGGCTGAAAAAGTAGGCAGACAGTCAAAAGAAAGCAACACCAACACTCCCTCCGAAGAGTCTGATAGTAAAATCCGCAACAGTGATCATGGGGAAGGCAGTGATGAAAGCGATGAAATTGAGTCAGACTTAGAGGTAACTGTATTACCAGAACTGCAAATAATGGTCGGTTATTGGCAATGTGACGAAGTCGAAATTTATTTGTGATTGGAAGTGATGCCGAACAAACCAAATGCCAAAGACTATCATATTGAGGCCTTTTTAGAATAACAATTAGTACCAAGGAAATAATCATTGACATAATGTGTAACTGACACATTTCTGGTTTGTCCCACTGAAATGGTGATCTGATCAGCTGTACTATGTCCTCTCTGAAGAATACAAATAAGTTTGTAGCGATGTCACTGTCAAAATTATCCATGCATCCATCGTTTACAACCACTGATTCAAGTGCTGGTTTATAATGTCTCATTGGGTACCTGTAACGAAACAAAGAAAAAATCTTTGATTTTTATTTGTTACCTAGTATTAGGTGATTAATCATCTTAATGATGTTGAGAAACAATTAATGAAACAGTTTTAAAAAATCACGTCTTTTTATTGTTTCATGTCGTTTTGTTTTGTTTTGGTTCGTTTTCTCGTCAGGTACATAATTCAAATCCACCTAAAGATAAGACGGTACAATCTGCAGGAACGGAAAAGCACCCGTCTTTGAGCCATGCCACTATGGATAAGGAAAAAAGAAAAGAGGAGGAACCAACTAGAGAAGCAGCACAGTGAGTCCATTGTTTTGTTTCGTAGACCATTTTTTTTTCATTAACATTTTAGATCATTTAGGCTTAATTGTAAAATCCTCATCCTCTTTACTTATCAAGCCGGTCTTGGCTGCTACTCTCGCATGCACCTGCACCTGCACCTCTGCCACTCCACCTTTCTTCTCTCTACTTTCTATCCTCCTGGCTGCAATCCTTATAACGCCGCTACCCCTCATTCATTTGATTTTGTACTCTCGTATTTATTTTAATCTTTGTGCAGCTCAAGCAGTCACTTACACCAGTCACACATTCCAATTGTCTATCAGGGTGGTTAACTTTGGTGCTTCCTGCCTGCTTTTATACAGAGCTTCTTCATAGCAGTAATCTTGAATCATTAAAGAATTTAGTTTGGCTTTAGGTACCCCTTATTGTACCCCTTATTATTATTATTATTATTATTATTATTATTGTTACTATATTTTTTATTTGTTGTCTAGTTCACATTTTTTTTATTTTCATTCATGAATTCAGGGAGCAAACAAGTGCTAAAATTTGCCAATACGAGTGATCGCCGTTGAGTTTGTATATTCTGTAAAAACGAAACGGCGACTTAATAGTCATGAAATGTACAGTTCGAGTTTCGACAAGATTGACAATCTTATTGGTTGCTGTGAGAACATATATACGGTCGCTACTGCGCTTTTTACAAGTAGCAAACTGCCACTTTTCTTGCTGTGTAACAATGAGCACTTCCACCCATATTTTGCCATTATCTTCTTTAAGATGAAAAGTGCTTCATTTTCTGTTGTCTACACTGAGCAAATTTAAACGCCATTTCTTGCATTGGCAATTTTTTTCTTGTTTATCCCCTGAGAGAAACTACGTGACAGAAAGCCATGGCAAGTAACTCTCCTCCGCAGAGACTCCCGCTAGGTTAAGAGGCCTCTGCGGAGGAGAGAGGGCGAGTGTCGTGAGTAAGGTGTATTATTGTATTATTACCTATTTATTATTTATTCAGAATATTTCCCCAATTCTGATTGGCTAAGAGCACACGCATAATTCACCATAACCAGTTACTGATGACCAAATGTGGAAGAATTTTGTGTTTAACGAGGAAATGACGTCAAAAATGCTGTCCTCTACAGGTTAAGGCATCGTTAACCGAGAAAACCTGGGGACGAGGTTAAGTTGTTTTGGTTGTAAAAAAAAAAATGGCGGAAATTTCACTCGTTTTAAGAGTAAGAACTACAGCTGGAACTAGGCGAAATAATAGCTAAAAACATGGCAACAACAGCAAGAAGACAACCCAGAGAGCGACATCTGCCATTTGGAGAATATTTGCGGAGCTGGACAAACCTAAACGTACATTTATCAAAGATGAACTTAACATCGATACAGGTAAGCATGTTTCAGCTATGTTTTTAAACTAGGAATTATTTTGGATGAATAATAAAGCAGTTAATGAATTCGGCTTTCGTATGATATGAATAATTAAGGCCTTCGGCCTCGGTAGATAACACCCTCCTCGATCTGCTTAAATTCTTCATATCCTACTCAGCCTCTTTCATTAATTGCTAAATATACTCTTTCAGGACTGATAACCATGACCAAGTGGCTGACAAGGAAAAGGGCGGCGGTTTCGGAACCACCCGGCCAGTCGATGGTGATGATCACGAACATCCTCGTGGCAACGAGGAAAACGATTCTGGTCTTGCAAAAAACAATGAAACGTCGTCAAAAATGAAAAAGGAGTACTTTGAAGACTATAACGGCAACAAAATGACTGTTGTTTTTCATGCTGTACTTGCCCCCAATTTTAAATTTGAGCCAAATCTTGGAGACAAAATTTACATGAGGTTTGGAGGAGAAAAGTTTGGCGATTTTCAGCACAATGTTGTGGAGGTGATCCATCAGCGGTAAGCTACGAGTTATAGATAATCTTGATTGGAAAACATGACGTAAAATCAGCGTGTCCTTGTTCAAGTTTTAGTTAAGAAATTAAGCCCTAAAGAGAAACGCTTGTTCTACGTGAAGCTCCACATTTTGCAAGGATCCTTAAATATTGTGAGTCAACTTTTTTAGAAAATTTTTTTTCAAAAATTATCTTAATTCCCGTTTTTATTGGTATAGTTTTTTATGAAAAGGTTTGCATGACATTTAGTTGGTCATGAGATGAAATTTCTTTTAAGGATGTATGCTTACGTTAGGAAGTGGTCTGCCTGTGGCAGTTTAATTAATGGGGTTATTTTCTAACGAAGCTGTAGTAATTAATGCGTCGATGTTGGACTGATTTGGTTTTGAAAACTGAGTTGGTTTTAAAAATAAGGCGAACTGGAAACGTTCTAACTATAGAGTGTGTAGTCATCGTAGCTGACGGGATTTGACGTGTACGACTGTTTAAAGCACCCGTGGAATGAATTTGGCTGTACAGGCGTAAGAATAATTAGGATGAGAGAAGTCAAGAATCTCCATCCAGGCCTTGCCACCTACTGTTCCTGGCGGCTCTAGAAGCACTCCCGCACTCCAGGCGGTGTTTGCACTGGGATTGCGATGCATTGTGCATGTAGAAATTTCAAGATGGCGGCGAAGGTCAAGAAAACATGGCGTGAACTGCAGGAATGGCTCCGAGCCGTAATGAGAGTAACCGCTGACCGCTTGACATGTGGTTCCACATTGCCATACATAGCCCCCCATAGCTACCAATTGAGACATATAGCTATACATAGCCACCCATAGCTACACATAGCCACCCATAGCTACACATAGCCACCTATAGCCACCCATAGCTACACCTAGCCACACATAGCCACACATAGCTACACATAGCCACCTTAGCCACCCATAGCTGCACCTAGCTACACGTTGCCACCTATAGCCACCCATAGCTACACATAGCCACCTATAGCAACCCATAGCTACACATAGCCACCTATCGCCACCCATAGCTACACATAGCCACACATATCTACACATAGCCACCTATAGCCATCCATAGCTACACATAGCTACACATAGCTACACTAGCCACCTATAGCCACCCATAGCTACACATAGCCACCTATAGCCACCCATAGCCACCCATAGCTACACACAGCTACACATAGCCACACATAGCTTCACATAGCCACCTATAGCCACCCATAGCTGCAAATAGCTACCTCCAACCATAACTCCACATAGCTACACATAGCCACCTACACCTATGGCCACACGTTGGCATACAGCCGCACATACAGCTACACAAAGCCACGCATAGCCATCCATAGACACGCATAGCTGCACATAGCCACCAATAGCTACACATAGCTACAGATAGCCACCAATAGCTACACATAGCTACACAAAGCCACCTATAGCTACGTATAACTACACAAAGCCACACATAGCTACCCATGCACACGCATAGCTGCACATACCCACTCATAGCCACACATAGCTACACATACCTACACAAAGCCACACATAGCCACCCGTCGCCACACATTAGTACACATAGCCGCCCATAGCTACACATACCTACATATTGCCACCCATAGACACACATAGCCATTTATAGCTATATAGCTTCACAATTAGCCACTCATAGACACACATAGCCACACATACCTACACAAAGCCACACATACTTACACAAAGCCACACATAGCTACACATAACCACACATAGCCATCCATAGATACACATTGGTACCTATAACTACCCATAGCTACCCATAGCTACACATAGCTACACATAGCTACATATAGCCACACATAGCCCCCCATCGCCACACATTGGCACACTTAGCCATTTCGCTACAGATTGCCTCACATAACCACCCATAGACACACATAGCCACATATTAAGCTACACTGATAGCCACACATAGCTACGCACAGCCGCCCATAGCTACACATAACTAGACATAGCCACACGTAGCTATAATTATAGCCACATGCACATAGCCCCAAACTAGCGAACAGGATGTAGTATTTTTTCAGTGACAAACTTAAGAGATATATATGTTATTCACCGGCCTATGTCGGTCCGTATCGGGAGAAACTGAGCTCGAGGTCTTGCGTACCGCCCTCGACCTACAACATTTTGATTTTTCTCTACTGAGATATAAAAGTTTCAGGAAAATTTTACTTTAGTTCAACCTATGTGTGTTTAGTAGGACCCATTCGTGTCGATGAAGCGCGCCATCGATTGCAAACTAAAACAAAACATTACAACATGATTTTTAGCTTGTAATTTTATATATTATCACAATTAAGCTCTCTTTTAGAATAAAGAAGGAAGCTGAGGTTAAGGGTTAGGTTAGCTTAGGCAACTACAACGAAGACCACACTAAACGAAAACCTAGAAAAACAATTGGTTTCATGAGCAAAACAACAGCCCTGCACTTGCATCACGCTTTTTAGTAAGTTTCTTTGACGTCCATTGCACGACTACCACGTGAAACCTCCTAATGCAACGTTTTATGGAGGATGTCGACATACGACGATGAATTCTCCTTTCTCTTTTTGAACCTGGATTAAGTCCTTACAAATTCAACTCCTCCCCTTCCTCATATATAAAAAAAGGTCGCCTGCATTTGACATATTGAGCGGGTCCAAATAGACGCAATTAAGTTTGAAAGAACGCAAATGTAGCTATGTGTGGCTATGGGTGGCGATGTGTGTCTAAATATGGCAATGTGTGTCTAAATATGGCTATGTGTAGCTATGTGTGGCTATAGGTATGGGTGGCTATGTATGGCTATGTGTAGCTATGTGTAGCCATGTGTAGCTATGAGTGGCTATGGTTGGCCATGTGTAGCTATGTGTAGCTATGTGTGGCTTTAGGAGGCTATGTGTAGCTATGGGTTGCTATAGGTGGCTATGGGTGGCTATGTATGGCTATATGTTGCTATGGTTGCTATGGGTGACTATGTATGGCTACATGTTGCTATGGTTGCTATGGGTGGCTATGTATGGCTACATGTTGCTATGGTTGCTATGGGTGGCTATGTATGGCTATATGTTGCTATGGTTGCTATGGCTGGCTATGTATGGCTACATGTTGCTTTGGTTGCTATGGGTGGCTATGTATGGCCATATGTTGCTATGGGTGGTTACGTATGGCAATGTGTAAGCACATGTGAGGCGTTCAGCGGTTACTTTCATTAAGGCTCGGAGCCATTCCTGCATATTTTAAATGGCTAGTGTCGAGAAATTTCCCAGGTTGTATGCTTTATTTTTCGATAGACATTTAGGTTTTTTCTGTGAACAAATAAAAAAAAATCAATATTCCTCATTACAATCTGAAACACGGAGCACGAAGATTCATTCGCTAGGAGCACGAAATTTGATCCGTTGTTTGGAGAGCTATATTTTCTACCATAGTGCTCTTTGACGACAGAAAGTAGTCTTAAGTGTTTTTACAAAGGTTGTTCTACACCAAGGTATAAGCGCTCCCTAACGCTCCCCACTTTTAGAAATAGTTTTTTTGAATTAAAACCGACATGTTTTCATAAGAAAATGCGGTCTCGCACAGACGAGACGTGTCACTGGAAGTGTCACTCTTGTAATCAAAAGTTAATTACAAAATAGTTCATTGGTTATATACAGGAGATGAAGCCTGTGGACGATTGCAAATAACAAATGCCAGATTTATGAAAAAATATATGTACGAAAAATAGCCTATTAAATATGGTTGTCACCTTTTGAAGCAACCTGTTTACCTAAGAACACAGTTATATCCAGGGATTTGCATATTTTCATTTCATGGATGTACTAAATTATAATTGGGGAACAAAGACTAAGGGAAAAATATTTGGCAGGAAACGAAACATCTGTTGTAGTTGATTTTTTATCTCAGGTAATTTTTCTTTTTCTTTTGTTTTTGGGTATATTAATCTAGTATGCTAATGGAGTTGAAACAAAAGAAAAATAAAATTCACGTGAGAAAAAATTAACTGCAAGATATCCAAAGTGGAAAAAAGGGGGTACTACTAGGATCCACCACAGTAATAATTGCTAACCCAAAAGCCTGAAGTATAGCAACAACATGGGAGGAAATTAAAAAACAATATCCGTCGCTATAAAATGACAGCACTGAAATACTAATCACCATTCCAATATAATAAAAGGTGAATACGTTTACCCAAAATTTTACATAACATCTATAACACCTATGACACAATATTTGAATTAAACAAAAGTAGTTGGAGGGAGGGGGATCAAAAGAAAGGAAAGGGGTCTCCCTACATGTTGCCCCTGATTACAGTAGATTTGTAAACACAGATAAGATTTTCACATTTTGAATTGAGAAAAATTATTATCATACAAAAAACATGTGATGACATGTGTTTTTACACACTGATACAATCATTCACATGAAATAAAATGAAATAAAGGCAAAAACCATGAATGCCTCTTAAGCTCAGCTCTTGTAACTTAATCTGCTTAACTGTATGAGGATTAGAAATCACAAATGCTGAATGCCATTTTCAATTTCAAACTTTACATTCTGTGACTCATACCAATAGAAAGCAAGGATACTAGATTGCAGTATTTCTTCATTAGATTTTTATTTAACACTGAAGATGCCTGAAGAAAGTACTCAATATTATTTGTAAATAGGACACAACTCACCCTACACGTACTGATATCTTGATTGACTTTTCATTTACAGTACTTTATGTGTGATAAATGCAGATGGTAAAACAAATAAAAAATGCAAACAGGGTTCCACCAAAACTAAATCCCTGTAAAGACCTGGCAGGGCCTCTGTAAAGCTGACCCGCTAAACTTTTCTTATAGTCTAGCAACTGTTTTAGGGCTATCTTGTCAGAACGAAGTTAAAATTTTTCATCCTGGCCCATACCAGTCTGTTTTCAAACCAACTTAAGCTTAAATTCGTCTTGCTAATAATGAAGAAATCTTCGTAGTACCTCGTAGTTCTAGTTGCACCAATCTGACGATAAAATCACTTTTTTCGGCAAACCACGGGTCTTACCTTTAGTGCTACAGTCGCTTCCTGCGAGATGTTCACCCCTCACCATCTTGTAACAAATGATCAGATTTTGAGTACCGCCCATGAGGCGTAACGATCCTAGTGCGCACACCGCCTCCCGCACTCTGAGTCCGCCAGCTAAAAATTAAAGTTATCTTGCAAAGGTAACAATCACTTAAAACCGCCATTGCTTCTAGTCTATGAATGGATTTTGTTATCATCTCTGTACATCTGAAGATGGATCTTTGGAGATTGATTGAATCTGATAATATTCTGCAATTTGGAATATAGATGCTTAGAGAATGATTTTATCCTGGTGCAAGCAAGGCTCGTGGTACCATGTTCATATGTGTCCCGCCGAGTTCAATACAAGTACATTGTATGGAAAGAAGAAAGGAAAGATTCAAAAGAAAAGGAAAAGGCAAAATATTTGTGGGAATACTTAGTTGGCTGTGGATACAACAAGAACAGATGTCTTCAAATACCAGAGGACAGATGTGGACCGGGAGGTGTTTAATTGTTTATGTTGTTGTTTTAGTTGTCGTCTTCGTTGTCATGCGTGCAAAATTCTGTGATGAATCGAAAATTTGGTGTTGGTGTAACCACTAGAATGCCTGAATGAACCTATCCCTGAATAGATTTATAACGTGAAATTCCCCTCTCAGTATAAGCCTCCTTTAATAAGCTCCTTGAGGACATAAATTTGGATATCGGCATTAATTAATCAGCAACGGAACTGCAACTCTCAAGGGAATATCCGAAATATGGTAATGTTCGAAAACAAAGCCGTGGAGGAAATTTTTCATTCATCATTTTTTTGAATATGTAGCCTTTTTATGACAAGAGTTGATCATAGCAAGACCAAGAGAGTCAAAAAAGAAAAAAATACTCCTGTCCCAGCCTAGTCTCTAGGCGTTCTCGGCTCGGTCAATCCTGGACTGTACCCTGAGCTGTGACGTCACCGTAAGAGACTCGCCTATTCTTTCCCAGACTACGCGCGGACAGCGGATCAAGAGAGAATGCCTAGGGACTAGGCTGCTCCCGTCATGATTAAAAATCGTATGCGACAAAAAAAATAGTTCTTTAGTTTTAGAACATTGCCATGTTTGGAAGATTTCAAAGGGTAGGCAAACACGATAAATTCACGCGTAGTGCATGGGAATTCGATGTTGTGTTAACTTCGAGACAGAAGAAAATCCCAGATCACAAAGTTATTCAAAACCCAATTAGTTAGTTAAAAGTTTTCCATGGGCGCTAAAATGGGGATTGTAGAGTTCACTGATCAAGTGCAGCTGTAAAATGTTTTGAAGGGAATCTATCGATTAATTTTGGTTTAATCGTTGTTTTCATGAAAGTAGCCTAACAAACTGCAAAAAGAGCTGCGATATTCATTTCGATTGCCAAATAAGAATATCATAATATAGGTCAGTCTATGTGTTAGTGTAATTCATGTGTCATAATGAGTTACAATAAAATTCAAGGTGTCTACACCTAATTGCAATAAGGTTGTCATAGAAAAAAGCAAAAAGCCAAATAGGAATTAATTAGCATTAAATTATCATTAAATTATCATTGCTTGCAACATTCACGACACACACGCTTATAGCTGAATATTAATCACGTAATATGAAAGCCAAATCATTTGCATCAGTTTCTTGGTGTCATTCTAATGCAATTCGAGGCTGATTCATCTAGCGGATTTCAAACGTGCTCTAATTACAAAGGTACATCGGATAACTACTAAAGAAAAAATGGCTCCATTTTTTTTCAATAAATATAGCCTGGGGTAAATTCCAGGAACGCGACGCGTCTTTTCGTTTTATGCTAAATAGAAAAGCCAGTCTGCGTACGGTTTGTAGTGCACAACACCATCAGATCACAATTTTCAAGCAACAAATCAGGGGTGTAGGCAGGACTTTCTATCGCGGAGAGGGTGAGGCGCTCCTCCGCCAGTTCCTCTCCCGCGCCACAAACCAAGCCTCGTTTGTCAGGACCCTTTTGTTACACACATCAGTGTTTCATGTGCGGAATCGTACAGCGCGGAATTACAGAATTATTTCTTGTTATTGTGAATGACTTCTTAAATAATTGTTAAATTATTAAAATACGCAAATGTAAATCACATGGCTAATTAATTCCTATTTGGCTTTCTGCTTTTTGCTTTTTTCTATGACAACGCTATTGCAATTAGGTGTAGATATAAGAGTGTTTAAGATAAAGGGTGTACCTTCCAAAATGCTAGAGAGCCATCTTAAAGTGTACCATATATTTTTAGGTAAGTTCATGCATTATAACTGGATCAATAACCGTTTAGACAGTGATCTGTTTCCGCGTTTGACTTTCTCTTTATGCAATTGCAGAGAGTAGACACTGAGGTTAAAAAAAATGGTATCCAAGAATGTCCCAGGTTGATGGGTCAAAATGGCTGTTATTATTATTATTATTTTGTTTGTTTTTTTTATTATTTAGCTGTCTGGAACCAATATGATGACACAATTTTCAGTCCACCCAGCCGGTTACAGTCAGCTCGTAACAAAATGCCACTTCTGAAGAAAAGTATGGATCCTGCTAAAGGAAGAAATATTGCTACTCGGGCAATGCTTCCCGACTGGGAAGGATTTACCATGGAAGGTGGCAATACAAGCTTGTCGGCTTGGGAGGCCATACAGAGTGTCAACGATTTAGCTTTCTGTATGACACAGGCACACGTGGAGGGAAATAATCGTGTCTGCAGGAATGTTCCGTCTTCGTATGACTTCAGCAAAGTAACGCAATACAAAATTTTATCTTTCATGACTGTTTAGTTTGAAGTTTTTAGTGCTACCATGGATATGACAGTATTTGACGGACACCTCAAAAGGAACCTCTAAAAGTTAACTGCTGTTGCAAATAAAATCACTTATCCTGGGTGTCGCTAAACAATGGTGGATCTCGGTTCATAGTATTCTCAAAAGTTTTATTTTATTTTATTTTATTTCATTTATTCTTAACAACACTTTATTTCATATTTACATACAAAGCAAAAATTACAAAAATTGTGAAAACTAGAAAAAAAGTAGCAAAATTACAATTTACAAAAGTTATTGAAAATTACAATTTAAATTATCTTTACCCTTATACATGAAAAATCAGTAGCTTTTATTTTTTTTTAACATATCATAATAAGGTAACTGACGAAAACTATATTATACGCACACGTATCCACAATGGATTTAAAACAAACAAACAAACAAACAAACAGACAGACAGACAACTTAAACAGGACAGTTCTAAAGAGAGCCGCCTACAGTTCACTTCCACAGAATAGTACATTGTCTAAAAGAGGGCAGGTTTTTTAATCTTTAATGGAGACCAAAAGAATTATGGTCTTTTGCAGTTTGCCTTTCTATTTCCACAGTGCGTTGAACTATTTATTTGGATATTTTGGCGCGTATCTCTTTGTTTACAGGTGTCGATATAATGCCTGGAAATAAGTAGTAAATGGTGCAGTAGCAAATCTTTTGCATCGTTAATTTAGCTAAATAAGAGAGCATACCCAAAAGTTACTCTTTTAAGGCTGTCAAAAAGTTATCACTACAAGGTATAATCAATTAGTAGGTGGGGAATTCAACAATTAGGACGTTCTTTGGGTCTACTTTTCGGGGATCATGCTGATAGTAGCTATTAACAACATATCCGGCTATTTCTGGCTATGCTGTTTGTTTAGAACGTAATTACATATTGATTTTGATTTACGTTTGTCTCTTGTTCTTTAGTATTTTCGTCAGCGTGTATCACTGTGTCATTATATTAACGGCAAGTTGTTTTATCTTACCATTTTTAGGTTCTAAAGAAAATGTTGCAGCCAAAGATAGAGCAGAATGCTCTACCCCTATCAAATGGCACAGACAATACCAAAAGGATGCTTCCTCTTGTATCATCAGTAGCGATTGCTCATGTTATTGTTTCTCACAAAGTGCGCCTGGATCGTGATAAATATGCAAAACTGTTGTCATCGTTAGTTCTCTGGCGAGATGCAAAGAAAAAAACTTGTAGTTCATTTACCAGTCTTTTGAGTCACTTTCCCAGCACACAGTGGCGGTAGGTAGTTCCTCCGTGTTTTTATATTGTTTTCGGGTTCAACTCGAAATAAAATTCGCCCTTAATGGACCAATCATGTTGACAGCAGAGCTTTAAGTTAAAGGCACTGCAAAAGGTAGAATACAGTTGCCAAAAACGTAGATAAGTCCTTTGAGTGGTAGATACATTTTATCAACAGAAGTTGATAAAAGCACCAGATCGAACCCGATCTCTTTCATGTTGTCAGTGAACTAAAGTAGGATTTAAAAAAACAAACAAACAAACAAACAAAAACAAATAAAGAGGTTTTGCGGACTGAAAGTTGTATGTCGCCGTAATGGTGTCTCATAACATTCCAGAAGATATAAGTATTCTTGTCTCTGTTCTGAAGTCAACTACCTTAATTAATTTCACCGTACTCCATAGACCATTTCACGTGGTGGTCATGTTAAACTAAACTCGTTCCCAAGTTTTTTTTTCTTTGCAAGGCTAGACATGCTTTTTTTCCAGAATTGAACCTTAAGCGTCAAGTAGCTTGTGTTTTAATACCTACATAAATCAACCTGCGTTACCTGTGCCTTTTTTGCCTTCCAGGAACAGCTTTTAATGTTTTCACATTCTGCTTAAGCCCTGTTAAGTTTTGATCCCGAATTCTAGTGTCTGGTTGTCTAAATCTATTTTTGAAAATATTACTCAGTAATAAATAAGAAAATAAATGAAAATATGTCGAACATTTTCTTTTGAGCGTATTCTAAATACGTATAATAGTTTAAGGCTTTACACTTTTCTTTAAGGAACCTTGGAGAATCCATTCAAGAAATATGCAGGCAAGTTGTGAAGGATCACAAGGACCTTCATGAGTGGTTGTTTGCTGTACCACTTATTCATTTCCTGACCGGGGTATCAGAACCATTTAACAGTGATGCGTTACTCATGGAGGAACCTAAACCTAACGATGACACCTGGTGGGGTGCAAATGGCTTTCCTACCAAAACAGTGAGAGAAAGAAAATTTACAAAGAACAGGTGAAAAACGCAAATTTTTTTAGAGTGTCATTGTATTTAGCATAAAAGTAGTGACTGAGGACTCTTTTATGGGACCGCCATTTTAGGTGGCCATCCAAGCCGCGCGAAGGTGCACCTGTTTGCAGTGCAAAGGCAGTACCTTCATTTCTCAGTTGTTTTAGGATCCTCAATATTGGTCTGATCCAAAAATTGGATCCACGACCTCCATCTCTGCCCGTCAAGCGCTCTACCTACTAACTTAGTCCAACCGAGGTTAGTTGTTTTTGGAGCATATATACGCCGATAAAGCGCTGCTATGTTAAGAAATATGGCAGCACTTTATACATTAAATATTATATTGTTGGTTTTCTTTTGTTTTGGTGTTTATCGTCTGGTGAAGTTCAATAAGTTTACAACATGGCGGCTGCACACGTTGTTAACGGCTCCTCGGGGCCAAGGCGAATTCTTCTTTATATCTGGTTTCTACTAGGTAGGATTCTTTATACACAAGTTCCATGGCTCTTGTGGTTCGTTTACACCCGCAATTGTCCGGCCTTGCGATAAAATCTCGGCCTCATCGCTACCTAACTGCCCGTATTTTATACACGACGAAAGGTACAAGCTCATTACATTTAGACCTGTGGTGATATCGCTAAAAACCCAGTTCCTAAGGTCAAGCGCGTTCGTAAAATTTCCATGTGTTGATTGCAAGAAAAGTGTCAGAACTAACCAGGACGCCATCTTGTGTGGTTCTTGTACCTCGTGGTTTCATACCAAGTGCCTGTGGTATGTCCAAGTCTGTGTTCCAGTACTCTCTTGCACATCCTGATATTGAACGGACTTGCACTTTCTGTGCATTACCACCGCTTAGTGACTCGTTTTTCGCAGATATTTCGCCTGTCGACGTTTTTGCTGTGACTGCCGGGGAGCTTGGAAATGATGATTTATCTTCGACCTCTGCCTCATTTACTGAGATACCTACAGCCTGATATAGGGATAAAATTAAGGGTTACTATAAGAACAACTTACCCATCGGCCATCTGAATGTAAACAGTATTCTCGACAAAATCGATGAGGTGTTACATCTACTGAATGAGTGCCGTTTTGACATCTTGTTTCTTTCTGAAACTAGATTAGACAAATTTGTTTCATCATCCCTACTTTCCAACCCACATTATTGCATCATACGCAGAGACAGAAAGCGAGGTGCTGGTCGTGTGCTTGTTTACATTCGTAATTCAGTTGTTGCTCGACGACAGCCTAAAATGGAACCGGAAAATATCGAATCGATTTGCTTCAATGTCAAAGAGATTGCAAATACATCATTCTATGTGTGTGTCTGCTACCGTTCACCGAACCTCTGCAAAGTATCTGACTTTATTTCCGCCTGTTCAACTGCTGCAGATAAAATGCTTAAGTCCAAGAGAGAAATTATATTTCTGGGTGATTTCAACATTGACATGCTTCAAAGTAACTGCAACATTAATTTGCATGGTCACACTAATCCCTTAACACACGTTTGCGACCAGTTTCGTGTCACCAATACAATAGGTGAACCGACAAGAGTGACAAAAACGAGTAAATCACTGATCGATGTTATCCTAGTCAACCGACCGAGCATTGGGCTACCAGTGGCTCGTTACAACTTGACATGAATGATCATGACCTTATTTACATTGTCAGAAAACAAAGATTATCGAAATCCAGAGTCAAAGTAATCGAGTCTAGAAGTATGAAACAATTTAATTAGGATGCATTCCTGGCTGATTTAGCGACAACCTCTTGGGACACGGCTTTTATCTTTGACAACATTTATGATGTCTGTGCCCACTGGTCTACATTATTTAATGCCATAGTAGAGAAACACGCAACTGTTATTAAAAAGAGAGTCCGGTCTAACCAGCTTCCCTGGATCAATGTAGAGATAAAGAAAGCTATGCGTTTGAGAAACAGGCTGTACAAAAAATATCGTCGCCATCCTACTGAAGACACGTGGGAGCACTATAGGTTACAAAGGAACTTAGTTACTAAACTGAAACGAGTCGCAATTAAACGTTGCTGATTCTGCTTCTAATACAACCACACCCAACAGTTTCTGGAAAAAACTGAAACCCCTATTACCCTCTGCAGGGAGAGACGTCTCCCAGGAGGACATTTACCTAATAGATGATGCCAAAGTCGTGAAAAAACCTTTTTCTCTACTCCAATCCTGGATCAGTCTGCCCTGAAGCTCAAGCAGGAAGAATTTTTGACTTTAAGCTGAACTTTTCCTTCCAACCAGTGCGAGTCTTATATATTGAAACTCTTCTGGGTGAGATCAAGTGCAATAAATCTTGCCCAAGATTCTTAAATTTTCAGCAGCATCTATAGCAGTTCACCTGACAAAGCTACTTAATCTCCGCATTAGTACTTCTACGTGGCCCACGGAGTGGAAGCTCAGCCATGTGACACCTGTATTTAAAAAAGATGATACCACATCAGTATCAAATTACAGATCTTGCAGTGTCCTGTCTATCATACCCAAGATCGTAGAAAAAGTTATCTTTGACCAGCTTTATGACGTATTTCAACCCTTGTTTTCGTCTAATATGTCTGGATTTCTTCGTGGACATTCCTGTTGCACTACACTGGTCAAAATGGTCGATGACCGGCGTCTGGCTCTGAATTCCAAAAAGGTTACTGGCTCCATTGCAATTGACTTATCCAAAGCCTTTGATTCCATATGTCATAATTTGCTTCTTGCAAAGCTACGTGCTTATGGCGTTGGTGAGGAGGCAATTGACTTCTTGCATTCCTACCTGTCTGGTCGAAAGCAAAGAATGAAGGTCAACGGAATTTTCTCGGATTGGCTACCGGTGTATTGTGGCGTTCCTCAAGGCAGCCTCCTGGACCACTCCTGTTTAATGTATTTATTAACGATCTGAATTTTTCTGTTCAACTCTCTTCCCTGAAGCTCTATGCTGATGACACTACCGCCTATTCATCCAATACAGACATTTCAGCATTGGAACTGTCTCTTAACAAAGATCTTGAGAATCTCTCATCCTGGTTTGCTTCAAATTACTTGTCCGTCAACAGCAAGAAAACCCAAGCTATGATCCTGGGTAAGCACTCTCATGAACCTGCTCTTCATAGTGGCGACTCGGTTATCGAAATAATTGGCCTCCTGAATATTCTTGGTGTTTGTATAGACGATAAGTTGTCCTTTAAAGACCACCTATCAACTGTTTTAAGGAACGTCTATGCCAAGGTTGGAGCTCTGAGACGACTTAGAAAGCTGGTGCATGCTGATATCTCACTTATGCTGTACATGGCTTATATACTTCCACACCTTGACAATTGTAGTCCATTACTGAACAAGAAACTTGAATCTGCAAACTATTATGCTTTAAAAGCCCTCTTAAATTTCGGAAACAGCTTAGATTATGATTCCATATTGTCTACTGTAAACATGCAATGACTGGAACATAGACGGTACTATCAATCTCTTGTCCTCCTTTTTAAATGCATAAAAGGAAATGGGCCTGACTATATTTCTGATTTATTCCAACCTCGTATATTGCGCTACAATTTAAACAACAGCAATCACAATCTCACTCACTCCGCATCCTATAATAATCGATATTATCACAATTCTTTCACTTACAAGGCCGCATTTATGGAATCAGCTTCCTTCTTGCATTAAGAGATCGACTGAGTTGAGTTAGTATCGTAAACACTTAAGGTCCAGTTGTAAATGTAATTTTTGTATATCTTAGGGTTTTACTATATCTGTTTTCTTTTCTTCCCTTAGGGTTTTAAACGTTTTCTTACCGTTTTTAGTTTTTAGTTAATTCAGTGGGATTCGGGTGGGTGTAGCTTTGTGCATTCACGGCAACCTCGTCCCCAGGGCTTTTCCCTTAAAAAATGGGTGGGGAGATGTGTATAATGTGTTCCACATAGGGAGCATTTACACCCATACCAAGAGCTGATGTGGCAAGCAAAACCCGTATTCTCGAGTTCTCTTCTTTTATTTCGGAAATTATACTCTTCTTCATACGTTTTGTTTGGGGAGCATGAAATTGGGCAAATAGCCTTCCAGATGGATATTTTGTTTCCCCCACAAATTGCTTATCAGCCAATATCCTTTCAAACAATCCATAGGCATAGCCACAGTATTTAAGTTTCAAGTATATAATTGTCATGGGATACCTCTCCCTCTTCAAAGCCAGGTCATTTGCAATTGGTACAAGGATCTGGTCGAAACCTTCATAGCCATGGTGGTTACTCATCCTCACTTTCTTTTCCAAATAGATGTTACTCCGATTTGGGTTGGCTGCAATAACCTTACAGTCTGTCTTCAATGACAAACTGTGTTTAAGTTTTTTCAACATCTGCGATGGTGCTGTGGCTGTAAGGGCCATGACTGGTACAGTTGGGAAAAACGCTTTAAGAGCTGACAGGTCTTTAAAGTCCTTCTTCTTTAAAGTCCTTCCTGAAATCTTCACCCCTAAGACACAATAGAGTTTAAATTATTATTAAGTTGCCATCAGGCTTATACCAAAATTGTTATCATAGTGCATGAAAAAAATGTAAGGCCAATTGATAAAATTTGGCATTCATCACAAGTAAGTATCCATTATCGGACTTTTTCGGTCATAAGCCACCTAATAAAATATGCAATTCAGCCGCTCAACCGAGCCTGTCTGCCTGTCTGGCCCGATTTACACTTTACACGTATTATGTGCGCTGTCTAAAAAGCTTACCATATTTCCACGCAATGAACTTCGTCAACCACACATGCAACCACATTCCTTTGAAAAACCTTGCTGTTCATCAGTTCGCGTCCTTCCTTACTCAAAAGAGCCTCTGGATGTGCGAACTCAATCTGGACATCTCCATTCATTAGTCTCGCACTTGGATTGCTTAAAGATCATTCAGCGCTTTCCTCCGTTAGTTCTTAATAATTGAACAAACTGTCAATCGCTTCTCGCTCGTCGTTGTTTAGTTGGAGAACATCAGCAGTAATTCCTCTTTTCTGCAGCACTTTAAGTTGGTCCTCTACAATAGAGTTTAAAGGACAAACAACGATCACAATATTCTTGTCTGCTTTGACAGGCAGGATATATTATTGTTATTTGTTTTCTTACATTTATGATTTTTTTTAAATTAGTTTTTATTCAAAAGCATTGTATCTTTATCGACTTAGTATTTTTATTGTCATGCGTTTTATACATGAGCCTCTGGCTCGGATGATCGGGGCAACCCCATCCTACGTATTGACGTTAATAAATTGATTGATTTATTGATTGATCGACGAGAGGTTGCGGGTAATGTGTAGTTCCAGAAAATATCCATACCCCCCTCCCCCATTTTCACGAAGGGCAACGGAGGGGAGGGGGTTACAAAAGGAGGCAATTTCCGAGGGGGTTGGGGGCTGCTTACAGAAGATTGATTTTTCAGCGGATCTAAGTGAGATTGTTGAGTTACTGATAAATAACAGCTCCTCTGTTGAGCAAACTTTCAGTTACTTTACTGCTACCGGTCTTCAAGATAAGTATCCATCGTTTTCACTGTCACGCAAGAAAAAAAAAACAAATTGGAAACCGTCCTGTGGAAGAAGCCAAGAAAATTAAATTTTATAATAGACTAATATATAAACAACTTTTCCAAGTCTCAGGTCTTTGTGGCCCACAGTTTCTGAGTTATTTGCCGAAACGTTTCACGCACCTTTGTAGAGCCTTGTATGGGGACGCCATATTGCTGTACAGTTTTGGTGCACCAATATGGCCGCCGGAAATAAAAAAAAAACATCTGGGGTGTATGACAAGCATCCCCTGGAATTAGGGGGCCTACAGCAAAAGTGCCCTCCATGGGAGGTTTGGATATTTTTTGGAACTATACAAGGTGGTTTACCCTGGCATTTACAGCGTTTTTTATGAAGTGGTTATTTCTAGTTTTTTTTCCCACCGCCGTTGTATTAAGGGTTGTTGAGTAATACTCTTAACTTGGTAATCATGTGTGGCATTGTTACTTTCGGGCTATATACTTCGGACAGAATGCTTCCGGCGATTTTCTCACCACATTGGACCCACCACAGTGATAATGCAGTATTTAAAGTAAATGTTTTTTCCATAAGTTTACTTCCCATGCGACCTGTCCCGTTAATTAGAGAGGTTAATTTTGGTTTGAACACGATCATGGTAATCCATACCCACTCATTAATTGTGAATGCAACATTGAACGAAAAAAGTGAAGAAAGAGCAAATTTTCCCAGCCAGTCAATCTCGTGACTGAATCCTTTGCTCAATGTAGACATCGTAATTCAACAAACGACGGAGCTCCTTTCACAGGTTTTGTAATATGTAAAAAATTCCTCTGTAACTAAGCAAACGGCTCACTTGCATATTTTTCTATATTATTGAGGAAGGTATTTAATTATAAAGGCATTCTGGAGTTTTGCTATTTTGTCATTTGGCAGATTTAGCAGAAACAAGGTGACAACAGTTACTGCCGCGCGCGCAGATCTAAGAACCGACTTGGCCAATAGCAGAGCGGCAAATGGAGCCTCGATGTCGGGTTCAGTCCTTGCTTAACATGTCTATTGTGTTCACAATCCCTTAATAAGATCCCTTTCGCTCAGCCAGTCGTGGGGTAGAAATTTGCTCTTCACTAGCCAAGAGCATTCATAAGGTTTTCCCCCTATGGAAACGTGGTAATATACTACTCAAAGGTAATGTTATAAACTTTTTGCCTTTTTAATGCTCTTTTGGTTACCGTTCTCTTTCTTTCCTTTCAGTTGCCCTTCCTCTATGATGGAAGTGTTGTCTCCCTTGTTTGAACTGGATCCTCTCTTCAGAAGAACGTTTCTGTTTTGCGTTCCCCCCGCAGCGTTTGGTAAAATTGCTACCTCTAGACCATTTCCAAAGGACGAAGTATGTACGACCCTTGCCCGGGGTTTGTCTGTGAAGGACTATGTAAGGCCAGATGAGGTAAATTCTTTTTGAGCCTTTTGTCTCGTTTCGTTTCATTTTTTTTACGAAACAAAGGGTTCAAGTTAAGTTGAAATTTCAACTACAACCGCCTCGCGAAAACGACCAGCGCACGACCACCCGTGACGTCATATATGACGTAAGCTTAATTTGACTAACAGTAACAATCCGAAATAATATCTCTGGCGCCTACTATATCAAATAATCTTCAAAACAAAAACCGTGTATTTTTAAGAGGAAATCGAAGGTTTGTTTATGAACCCAAGATGGCGAGCAAAAGAAGGGTATGAGAGGCAAATTTAAATTCGATTTAAAAAGGGAAAGCTACCGCTCTATCCTTGCTATCATGCATTTTTTGCTGCTTTTTAGTCAAACATTAATATTATACAAGTTTTGTTTGTTCCCCTCAACTAAGCCATACAACCCCCCTAGCTGATAGGTAGACTATAAAGGCCCGTTTTCCCAGTCAAAGCACTATATTTTCCTCACGTATGCGATCACCTCCCTATGGCACGAGATTACCAAATCGTGGCATTTTTGATAGTCACTAATGGGTTGGTCTAGTGTTTACTGTTACCAAACTAATTTTACAATAAGTTATTTTCTAAATTTCAATTGCCTAAGAACCAACCTTGAATTTTCTTCAAGCGCTGAGAAGTAAGTGTACAAGCCTTACCACAAAATGTGTTTTCGATTTACAAAAGTAGCCCTACGTAAACTCAACTTGTAAACATCCCTGAAAGTAAGTTACGTTTACCTTCTTGTTTGATGTAGGGGCAAGCTGCTGCGGCTACATTGAACGAAACACAGAAGGATATAAAATTAGCTACCGAGAATGCAATCGCTGAGTAAGTATAAGTAGTTACTAGAACTAACAATGGGGATGTTTTTCACCAATTTTATTGTCATTGTCCTATTTCCAAACCAAATTTCGAATGTGCGAGATTGTAGTGAGGTTGATTATTCCATACAATTAATTCTCATATTCAGTAACACTAAACAAACACGTGTACAGGTGAACTTTTTTCAAATAACATTTAACAACGAAGAGGTATGGTGAGGAGAATGAGAGCACAGTTAATTACAGACATATATTTCCCTCAAAGTTCATATTTTTAAAACTAAAGCTGGTGTTGCAACATGATTGGCCGTTCCTCGTAATTTCTATTTCCCGTACTGTAATTCGCAGCAAGTTTATTTCTTTGGGTATCGCGGCTTCCCCTATTAATACGTTTTTTCTTACCGGTCTTTCCCAAATAGCTGCTATTCTTGTTTTAACAAATTAAGAAATCAGTGTAATCGATTACGATAATAAGACTAATCATAAATCAGTGTTATTGATTACGTGAATAACAGTAGTATAGGAGGGATGTTTTACGCTGTTTTTTTTGCGCAGGAATCTCATTAGCGTGCGCAGGAATAAATTAACGCCAATGACGTCATAACCTTTTGTCTTGATCTCATGAATAAAATGCGTAGGAATCTCATTAAGATAAGGTCGTGTGTTATTTTTAGTTGGTTCAGGTTTTCTAGTTACTTTAATGTCGATAGACGTCTTCCTTTTCGATTGGTTAGTTAGAAAAATAAGAAACGTTTTCATTGGTTAATTCATAGTGTCTGAGGAGTAAAGTCAAACTTGTCTGTGACTTAAAATCACTGAGACGTAACGTAATTATGCACTTCCTATTTCCTGCTGCTGTGATTGTCTTTGTTCCGGTTCACTGATTTTTGGCGGGCAAATCGTGTATATTAAAGAGTGTAAAGGCAAACTACCTCTTTTTTACGCTGCAAGCAATGTTTTACTTACCCCTCTCCTTTTCATTTTTTATTTTCCTCCTCCTCCACAATTTTATTATTTTCCTTCCTCAATTTTTTTATTCCCTCCTCCTCCTCCTCCTCCTCCTGTTCATTTTTATTGTTTTCCCTCCTCCTCCTCATTTTTATGGTTTTCCCTCCTCCTCCTCCTCCTCCTCATTTTGATTGTTTCCCCCCTCCTCCACCTCCTCCTCCTCATTTCTATTGTTTTCCCTCCACCACCACCACCACCACCACCGCCACCACATTTTCATTGTTTCCCTCAAAAGGCCAAAGAGGCCAAAATCAGGCCTAAAAGGCCAAACTCAAGGAGGGAAATAATAAAAATGTGGTGATGGTGATGGAAGGAAAACAATAGAAATGTGGCGGTGGTGGTGGTGGTGGTGGTGGTGGAGGGAAAACAATAGAAATGTGGTGGCGGTGGTGGTGGTGGTAGTGGAGGGAAAACAATAGAAATGTGATGGCGGTGGTGGTGGGGGAAAACAATAGAAATGTGGTGGCGGTGGTGGTGAGGGGAAAACAATAGAAATGTGGTGGCGGTGGTGGTGGTGGAGGGAAAACAATAGAAATGTGGTGGTGGTGGTGGTGGTGGTGGGAAAACAATAGAAATGTGATGGTGGTGGTGGAGGAGGGGGGAAACAATCAAAATGAGGAGGAGGAGGAGGAGCGAAAACCATAAAAATGAGGAGGAGGAAGAGGGAAAACAATAAAAAATGAGGAGGAGGAGGGAAAACAATAAAAATGAGGAGGAGAAGGGAAAACAATAAAAATGAGGAGGAGGAGGAGGAGGAGGGAATAAAAAAATTGAGGAAGGAAAATAATAAAATTGTGGAGGAGGAGGAAAATAAAAAATGAAAAGTAGAGGGGTAAGTAAAACATTGCTTGCAGTGTAAAAAACAGCTAGTTTACCTTTACACTCTTTAATATACACGATTTGCCCGCCAAAAATCAGTGAACCGGAACAAAGACAATCACAGCAGCAGGAAATAGGAAGTGCATAATTACGTTACGTCTCAGTGATTTTAAGTCACAGACAAGTTTGACTTTACTCCTCAGACACTATGAATTAACCAATGAAAACGTTTCTTATTTTTCTAACTAACCAATCGAAAAGGAAGACGTCTATCGACATTAAAGTAACTAGAAAACCTAAACCAACTAAAAATAACACACGACCTTATCTTAATGAGATTCCTACGCATTTTATTCATGAGATCAAGACAAAAGGTTATGACGTCATTGGCGTTAATTTATTCCTGCGCACGCTAATGAGATTCCTGCGCAAAAAAAACGGCGTAAAACATCCCTCCTATACTACTAATAACTCATCTCCATTATGTTGGTAATTTGTATAGATCTTCCAACAATGGTGATCACGATGCCTTGAAAGGTGAAGTCCTTCTTCGCTTCAAGACTTGCTTGGAGATTTTTAGGGATGTTTCTAAGTCTCGTTGCAATTTTGAACTTCTGGTGGACTGTTTACAGAGCATCGCGAAGTGCATCTCATTTCTTGGCCAGCTGTCCATGACAGGGGAAGATCAGACAGGAGGTCTTGAAAGAATAGAGCAAGTGGTGGAGGAGACCTTTGAAATTGTCATGAAGTGGCTTAAGGAGTCATTAGAAAGCAAAATTCCTTGTTACCGCATAAAGAAAGCGGAATTAGAATTAAAGGTGCGTCAAAGGTGTTTTGTCTTGTATTTGTTTATCATTTGTATGTGGAAGAACAAATAAAGTAAAGGCAATCCGTTATTACAGAAGGGGCTTTTTGCCCCATATAATTTTCCCTTTAGCGTTGTTAGTGACCCGAGTTGTTAAATATGTTGTGCAAAAACACAACATAAAAGCATACACATTTAGCCTTCATAATGTTACCAGTAAGCAAGCACTTTAAATCTAGCTAAAAGAATCAAGTTCACTGAGATTTCTGTCACAAACATGTTCAGGTTACTTTCATCTTTCATGAAATATTCAAAATATACAATTTTAGAAGTGGACAAAGTTGTTCGCCCTTGAATGGGGAGTTAAACAGTGCGAAGACATCTGGAGTGATAGCTTGTCACGGGAACTGAAACAGCGTTTGGAAGAGGCAAGACAACTCTATTTCTTTTGTATTACATAATTATCGTTTACTTAGTAACCTGCTACAGTGAAACCCTCTATTAAGCGGACAATAAGCCGAATCCCGAAAGTAACGTCTTACATTTCCCTTTATAACAAACCCCTATTCAGCGGAAGCGGACACTAAAATAAATTGTATTTGGCTAGTTTCTATTGTTAAAAACCTCTATTAAGCGGACACTGGACTGAATTGACAATAGTAGTTCTGGATTACGTCCTTGAAATACGTACTATAGTCGATTAATAAAGATAAATCAATACATTTAGCTGTCAATAAACTGTAGATTAGACCAACATCCGGTCGAATGATTGTCATCCGCGATCACTGAAGTTCACCGAAACGTCTTGCACAAAATACAGTAAAGCTATTCACAATCAAATCCTTCCTTAACAACATGGAACTTTATCAAAGTACAGAGTAACCGTTGAATGTTAATCGTTAACAAACATTGCGCAATCTTTACAAACCTCTATTAGGCGGACACCCTAATATAGGTGTCCGCTTAATAAATGGTTTCACTGTACCAGTAAATGACGTTAGTGACGTTGACGGGCGGGTCTCTCATAAGGAACACGAGAACCTCATCTCAAAACTCTTTGGAAATTCCAGGCAGGAACACTTATCAACAATTTAGTTTTAACGTGTAAAACATTACAGTGATCGCTGTAGCTGGATCTCACACACAATATTGCTGCGTCTGAGGTTATGCACGTGAGTTGGATTGCATTTATTCGAGAAGTAAAATGTAAAATTGCCGCTAAGTTATAGCTACGAAAACGAGAAATGAGAGGAATGTATTAGATGCAGTTCCGCGCTTGTAGGGTTCGCCGTTTAAAACAGTCTATGAGCAATAGAAGTAAGAGCATCCTTAGTGACAGTAGGATCAATAATATGTATCTCTAAATAAAAATTGCCTTGTCACTTAAGGTATTTTAAACATCATCTGTCTTACTTTTATTTTTGTAGTGTCTCTGTAATGACCTGGTCGAAGTCTTTACCAAAGCTAATATGGCAGCTCATCATAACTTTGTTCAAGACTTAGTGTCTAAAATAACATTCGGAAAAGTTGAAAGCATGCTTCAGGTGACGTAATGTGTTTGGTTGCCTCTGCTCTCTATAGTATCGATAGTACACTAAAGAAATTTTGATTTAGAAATCATTTCACTTCTCCCCGGTACAAAAGTCAACCTTTTCAATCGGTAGGGGGTTAAAGGAGAATTTAATTTTGTGATATGCTTTTAATATTTCGCTAATTGGAAGTTCGTATATTCTGCGGCACTTGGATTTTGTGAAACTGTATCCAAACTCACTTAAATTTTTAACCATGTGATTCAACATTGCTTGAATTTAGGTAAAACGAATTCGAACATAGCAACCAAACAGTCAGTAACCGTTCATATCTAATATCCTACAGTTTTATTCATTTTCTTATCCATTTACTGCGAAACATGCTTAATCAATGTGAAGGAAAAGATACCTGCACTACTTTCTGGCATTTTTCAAATCTCATGAGACTTGTCTGTTTCAAAAAAAGCAATATTAATGACATTCACTTCATTTTCGCGTTATCATATGTTTGCGGCACTTAATTTCTGATTTGTTTTAAATCGCGAAAATCTTGTTGAATTCAAGAAGGTCGCAAAAGCCACAAAAGCAATAACGGTTAGTGAACAATTACTGTAACATGTGGTCAGTTTGATTTATCTCTTTTCATGATTTGTTTGTGTGCTGCTCTTTGTCTTTAGATGGAAAACGAAGGAGAGAAGGTGTTCCACTGGCTGTCAGAGTACGGCCTTGATTCTCCCCAAGCCGATGAGTGTGGCGAGCTTCTAACTCTGATGCTTACACGTTGCTGGCCTCAACCACAAGGAAGCATTTCATGCTCAAGTAAAACAAGTCTTCGGCACGTTCTGACCTGGAGGCTATGGCCCTGTTTCTTTCGTAGATTCGGTAATAATTCTGTGCATGAAAGTTAATCAGTAGCTTTTAGAATTGATTCGGTACGCTTAGTAAGTCGCTTTATTACTACTTGCTTGGGAGAATCAACTGCCTCACCATTTGGCCTGTCAGACAAATTAATACTGTTAAGACAGACTCTGGTAATGAATAAGTGAAGTTTATATATCCCTCATCCTTTCCTAACCCTATCTGTACGACAAATACCAATTCAAATTCCGTAACGATTTGATTTTCCTTATGTCTGTGCTTCTATTCGTTTGATGCATGATTGTTATCAAAGGGAAGCAGTGCTGTTTTCCCCTATGGTTTGTGCAAGACACCATCAGCATTCCATATTCTTAGACGAAAATGTGGGTGTTCATCGACCAAGTTTGAAATTAATGACTTGTTCTTGCAGGCAGATTGACTAAGTATGATGTGAGGGTATGAATATGAGTATGTGAATGGGTGGAAAAGACCGTTTTGTGAACTCGGTATTTCCTTACAACAGCCGCGTAAGAAGCTACATGTACACTGAGCCCTCGGTGCGAGCTTGGGCTACCTTTGTCATAACATTTGGATGACTCCAGGTCTTCTTTACACTAAATAAGTCATTTAACCCTAGGGTACCATTCTGGACAGTTGAAGGAGCTCGTATGATGAAATGTCTTTCCTTGATCGTTTTAAATATTTGTGAAAATATGCTTCATCCACTTAAATCCATGTTAAACACATTGTTATTTGTTGTGAAAGTCTCTTTGGCACAAGCAGTTGTTCCCGTCTTTAACAATTCTACGGCCAAGAGAACGCTTTTTCAGCATCTTTTTAAGTAGTGAATGTCATCATTTATTGTCATAGCGACGTCTCCTGGCTTAGTTTTTGCTGTTTGTGCTATCGTCACATTTGCATAATCGTGTGTTGGTTATCGTTGGCATGACACGTTTTTCGTGAAATTGTATGTCTTGCTTTTGTAGGGCGTGAATCTGATTTTCGTCGAGTGCTGAAGGAAGATGGACAGGAGATTTTGATGTTGGCGCTTTCATCTTTAGAAGCTGCAATCAATGGTGTTTTGGACAGTTCCATAGAATTTGAGTTATTAAAACTAGTTCTTGATCACTCCGACCAATTTTTGATACTTTCTGAGAAAATAAAAAAAAAATCAGCGCTAAAGAAGTCTTTAAATCAGCGCTACATGGAATTAACTGCATTTGAGGAGGAAAGGCAGAACGTCTCTTCTTTTATAAGGATGTGCAAACCCATTTGGCAAGGTAATGTTATACTTTTTAAACATTTATAGTGTAGGCGGGCTCGTCTACTTCCATTGTGATCTCGAAGGGTGTGGTAGGCTTTCCTGGTCTTACAATGAATACACGTTATTAATAGTAGTTCAATCATGTCCTGTTTAGCCGCCTAATAAAATGGGTATTGGGTTAGGGTTGACACTAACCCTAATCTAAGCCTAATCCTAACCCTAACCTTAACCCTAAAACGGCATTCTCAAAAAAAGATAGACCTCGACCCCGGCCCCGCCCCGGCCCCGTGTTTTACTAACACCCTCTAAATTTTTCGAAAAATTCAGAAATTGTGAACTTAAAACGAAATTTTAATATGCCCTAAACGTTTCAGTGCTCAGAGTTCTCGATACGATAAACAAATAAAACGCCCAAGATTGCACTTTGTCACTCATGATATTAATAGGTAAAAGGCGAAGGAAATGACTAAAATTTGGAAAAAACGTAAATATTACCCTAGATTCACGAGTATAATATTTAATCACAGATACTAATTTCGCCGTCTTTTCCAATATAGATATTAAATAAGTATTAAATTTGGGTGACGTCATCGTATATCCATATCTGGTTATGGCCCGGACTGGCTCTCAGATAGACATTACAGTTTCCATAATTTCCATCCTTCAGCAACACAAGATTAAATTGCAAATTAAGTTATTTTCTTAAGCTGTCTCTGGTAAACAACCGGTCTCACCCCCCCTTAGGACTGAAATGAAATGTCGCCATCAGACATTTCACATTAACGGGCGGGCGGACGGGCGGGCCTGCGGGCCTTTGATGGGGAATGGAGATTTCAGACGCGCGAAAACGCCAAGGGAGCGTTTGCAAGCAGACAAACGCTTTGCAAGCAGACAAAACAGGAGGATTTTTGTCAACATTTTTCTAGTAAAGCGGTGAAATTAGGTATCGATTAGAACGTAGTTTCTAAGTATGTCACAATTTTGTGTACCCTTGTTTCCTCAGTTGACCTGCACGATCTGAGTAAAAAGACAGAAATGGATGCCTCTCAGATGCCGATTAAAGAACTAGCACAGTCGACTAGTGTTCAAGGAAAAGTGTTTCCGGTGGTGACATTCTTTGGGCTTTCTGCGAAGGCAAAGCAGATGATTTCTGCTTTAGAAAAGCTTGCTGATAGTATACTTTTACAACAGTTTTTGAGAGAAAACAGCGAGAAAGAGCTAAAAATGACTGAAAAAAGAAAAGGCCGCAAAATTGTTTTGCTGAGTGTTAATGAAGTTGCAGAGTTAGTGTGGGCGCCTTCAAATGAGCGGCTACAGTCACTACAAGAGAGTCTTTTAAGTGGCACCATTTCTTTCGAAGAGCTCGACAAGCTCTTTCAAGTGTTTAAGGATAGTCAAGACCTTGCCAAAGAGATGAGGCTGCTCATCTCAAAAAATGAGAGTCCAGTAAAGGCAAGTGAAGACAAAATGAAAAAACGCATTGACCAGATTGAACGGTACTACCAATTACGAAACTGCATTGACGCCGTTTGGGTTATCCTGGACCTCAAAGAACGTTTTAATCTTCACGGAGATTTTCGGTTGGTAGAAGACGTGCGTAACCAGGTTTGTCGATAAGATAGTTGACAAGATTTACACCACATTGGGTAACTTGAGCTGCTCCATAATAACTTTCTTTACCTGGCGGTGTCTTAGTATTTTCCAAAAGGTGATTGTTAGCGTACCTAGTTTCTACTCTGCAACACAGACGTTTTTAGCGTCGTCACGCAACTCTCGCTTGTGGGGAAGCGGGTTGCGCGACGAAACTAGAAACGTCTGTGTAGCAGACTAACCTTGCTTCTAGCCTGTTGTTATTTTACTCATGTCTAATCATGTTAGAGACAAAGGAAAACAAAAAGCTCTACCCAAAAAGTTAAAACTAGCACTATGCTTGATGCTTCCTTGCAGCTTGAAGACATGCAACCGCTATTGCAAGGTTATTTAAAACTTTCTCTTTTTCATTTAACAGCTGACTAAGGAATTCAAACAGCAACCACTTCAAAGCATGAATACTGCTCTACAAAAAGCAGGAAGAGCTCTGTCAAAAATAACTCCTAACCATGCAAGATGTCTAGATGCTGTCAACAGATGCCAAGATTTTATATCGTGGTTAAAGGAAAAAATTAAAGGTAGAAGAGTTGCGAAATGAGTTATGTTTTTGCGGCAAGAATACATCTAACCAGTGAGAAGAGAAAACAAAATCGACTTACTGTATGTGACAGTATTGAAGCGTTCCGGGCTTCCATTAATAGTTACTGTTTAAAAATCCTTAGAGTCAAACAAGCTGAGCAATCTACAAAGTTGTTCAAAAGATTTCCTGGTAGGATCGCAGAGACTGTTAAAATGCGGTCATGGGGACATACAAAGTGTTGCAATTGGCGAAGAGTATAATGGACGATTTCCCTAATGATTAGCAGAATTTCGGAGGTTACAGAGTCGTGAATTTAGGTTTTTCTAGCCTATGACGTTAAACATAGTTTAAATAAGTCATACTGCCGTCTTTCTAAACTACGGCTGCTAAAATAACATTAGCCGTATTTATACTAGAGGACGTCTACGACGTCTGAGACGTCCAGTATAAATACGGGAAATAAGGCAGACGCATTAAACGTCAGACGAATAAAACGTCTGAAGGTAAGTGCGTCCGATCGACGCACTTAAAAGATGAATTAGTCGTCTCAGACGCTTAAGACGTCTAGTATAAAAACAGGCCGCACTTAACAGTCAGACGTTTAATGCGTCTGGACGTCCAAGACGTCTTCTAGTATGAATACGGCCATTGTCACATTTTTATCTTAGGCCCCCAACAACTCAAGGTCCTTGTGGATTTGGCCATTATCTCAGCTGGGGAGACAGACATGGAAACAGCAAGGATCACGTGTCTACATACCAGCTGCCTTGGCTTTGCTCCTCTCATCTTTGACTTGAAATCTTCTTTTGGATTTGATGAATTGTTAAAAACATGTGAACGAGTTTGCAATGCAGTGGATGCAGACCCCAGTCTTCCTACAAAACTGGTATGCCTTCTTGTTGTTTGGCATGACGTTTTGATGTTTCGGTTTATAGTGTTTGCGAAATAAGAATCACTTGAACGTTGGTTCAGTTAATACTGATGGTGCACTTCAGTTTCCTATTTAACCATGATATTAACTAAGTAAGCGGTGAGTGAACATGATGACTTCTCATAGTTATCTTTTTAAAATAAGTTAATAACACATGATTACAGGACTCATATGTTTGTGTCAAACTGCCAGGATTTACAACCTTTAAGCAAGAAGCAAAAACTCTTTGTTTGGAAAACAGAATTTCTGCTCCGAGACTAAGTCATTAACTAGTCTGTTTAGTGAGAGAATATAGATAATTAACGTTTCTTGTTTCTCTAGTGTCTTGTTAACGCCATTGTTGACTATTTGAATTCCAAATGTCACATCTGATTTTACTTCATTTGCAGATAGACACAAGCCGTCAGTTAGAGTGGCTCAAAGGATTAGAAAAGACTCATGGTTCAGTGGCAAAATCATTTCTAATGGAAGCTAAAGCCATCAATGAACATGGTGTTTACCTTGTTGGCTGCGTCAGTGAAGACGTCGAGAAATCAATAGATACGTTAACTCTGGATGCTGTGATCCAGCTAAAGTTACCCGCGGATGAGAAGAGATTCACTCTCGACGACCTGAAAGATTTGCAAAGTAAGCTGATGCTCATTGCCGCCAAACCTTCGCACGGTAAAGAAGACGTGGATAGATTTGTTGATGTAAGTTTATTGTCTACATTTTAGGCAAGCGGGCTGGGGTTTGTTCATATTAATATTCAAATACTATAAGGAAGCCTTGCTCTCACGGCTCTCGCGCTCACCTTTGTCGGTCTCTATATCTCTTTCAGTCCTCACTATACCAGTGTTAGATGTCTTAGGGATCCCACCTTTCACTTACCGAAGTCTTTCTTGTTTTTTCGACTATGAAATCATAAAAGTAATGAAATCAAAGCATACTGATTTTTTATTGCCTAGATAAATAACACTGTCTTTCGAATTTTTTTCAAAATTGATAGATTCTGCAATGTGTCCAGCGACTTGCTACAGTGTACATCGCACTTCGCAAAGCTGGAGAAGTCAGCCATCTCAAATGGAAATACGAATTTCAGTGTACACCTCGGCTTACTATCAGCCGCTCTCTAACAGATGATTTGGTGAAAAAAAGCGAGCAGATGGAGCATTGTCTTCAACAGTGGAAAGACGAGTTGCATGCCAAGCGTATGTTGTATAGTGAATTGAATCATTTCACCACCCCGCAGTTGTTGGTCCTTCGAAGGCAGCTGGCTGAGGTTCAGGGAAGAGGTCCCAAGGCTGTCGATAGCATTCCTCTTAAAGTTTATAACCTTTTAGAGAGTGTGTTGCCGGGCGTTGAGCCAGTCATTCTCAAGTCGGTGCTTATTTCGCAGTCGTCACACGTGGAGATGTTTCAAACGTTAGTGTCCAAATTGGAATCAATTGGTTACCCCGCAGAGGCCGAGAAGATTGCCATAGCAGCATTGAATTCATCTAAAGAGGCCAGCGAAGCAGATCTTATTGTATGGTGTGTGGAAAACGCCAGCAACAAAAATGTAATTGATGCCAGTTACTCAGAAGCTCTCCATGACCCCAGATATTTGCCGCTCCTCTTTAAAGACCTAGTCGCTCCTGTTGAAGAAGGAAGGTAAGCTATCTACGGGATGGTGAGTTTCATTTGTGCATATTTCCTTAGATGGCCCGGGCTCTCAGAGAGTTATTGGACATTTCGAGCAAATCTTCAGGAAAGTGGAATATCCGCTACAGAATTGAAGACACGAAATAGCGAAATGACTACATTGTCTTTATCATGTCAACCAGAATAGACAATTAATCTTTTTTTCTCTGTCCAATGAAATGTTGTTTTGTCAAACTAATTATCTTGTAATAGTTTTAACTGAAGGCACCATATATGTTGTGCTTAATTTTCTAACCACAAAATGTAGCGTAAACTGAGTAACAATCGTTCATTGCTTTGCTTGTAATTGTTTTCTGCTTTTTAAGTCCTTCTGAGGACATGATGATTGAGCCAGAGGAAGTTTCACAACCTATGGAAACTGCACGTTGTTTTGACCAGACCGCGGGCGGGGAGTTCCTGAGCCTTGATGAGCTGGGAAAAGTTCTAAGCCAACTTGCTTCACAAGGTTTGATTCCGGCCTTTGATTTTTTTTTTTCAATTTTTCATAATGTTTACTTGTCACTAAGAACCTGGGGAGTGTGGAAATGGAAAGGCAATTTTTTTTCTGCATAGGAACACTTCAACATCAGCGACTAGAGAAAAAAGGACAAAAATAAACATGTTAGAGGTTGTTAAGAATTGAGTTATCGAACTTTTTTTACCTGGCAGCATTTTACAACTAAAACATATTTTCCCGTTGTTTGCAGGCCCCCCAAAACGACGAAGACGTCATCCAAAGTACTTAAAGCGCGGAAAGCCGAATCTTGTTGTTATTCCAAAAGGTAAAATCATACTAGGTCCCATGACTAAACTGTGAGCAGACTCTCTTTTTCTTCAGATTTCGTGAGGGGAGTGCACAAGCGCGAGCGTCAACCGTCTCGCGTCTTCAGTCACGCGCGTGGTCATTTGCGTGTCTCGCGCGTTTTGCCAGACGGACTACGAATAAAGAGCGGCTTCTCGTAGTCTATCACATGACGAGTTGCTTTATTTTTCTCACCCTTTTTAATTCTCACCTTGCAAGTTTTTCACATTTTGATGATAGTCTGTTCTTGATCGTCGTTCTTTATTTTTGTTTCCATATGTGTACTTGCAATACCTTCGTAGCCCCCTTCCTTTACTGTTACTTTGGTGTAACTTACTACATTGTTAGTTTGTTATTTATTATTTAAAAATCCCATTGCAGGCGACATTCTAGGAACAGTGTTGTCCTTGTACATGCAAGACACCTCACCATCACTGCCTAGTTTCGAAGAAGTGTTGATATGCTCTTCTAATACAACTGCAGAAGAGGTGAGCATTTTCGATCTACAGATGGATAGAAACAACTTTTGATGTTGTTTCGTTTCCCTTTACTGATAGTTTGTATGTTTGACCCTTTTTTAAAAAAAAAAATAGCAATCTGACACATGGAAAGGAAACATATCATTCCATGAGAACATTCGTACTTATCAAATAGATATTTTTACTTTTCATTATGTTTCGGCCTCTTGAGTAAGGCAGGACCTGACATCTGTGGATCAAATTTTGTTTGCACTGTCGGATTTCCGGACATGTTTGAAGGCTTGTGTGGTATCCCGGGATACTCTTACCCGTAGTACTCTTAGTGATGTGCTGCTGACGTTTAGCGGTTCATTTGTTTACGCGTGAACACGCTGTGGGTGTTACACCCGCAGTGTAGCGACTCTTGGGATTGCTTCATTCTCTCTTCTGACTGATTCCCACGAGCAAGGATACTGGTTTGAAAGCTTAACAATGGATTTTTGCCAGTGTAGCCTTCGAACCGGCTCACGTTAACTGGCGACAAGCGTCACTATAATTAGCCGACTAGACTTTGCCTTTTACATTTCCGTTATAGATTGAGCTTCTTTGGCGACGGGCCCTTACAGACTCTAATGGACAGATGTTCTGTTTGGTGAATGTTGACCTTCTTGACTACACTGTTTCGCAGAAAGCTGCTGACAGCCTTGAGTTTTTACTACAGGAGCCTCAATACAATCGTAACGATGGTATTCAAGCTACTGTATTTCGTCTGTTAAACATCCAGCCTTTACTAAGCCTCCCCGTTGCATTAAAACCCCTAGTCTGAGGCACAAGGCACCCCTATGGGAGACGAACTTCAACAGAGTTAATGAGCTAGTGGTCAAAATAACCGACTTTAACTGACTTAGACTTTAGCTTAAAGCCTCTCTCAGTTACTGGATGACTTAACACTCATGGAAATAATTGATCTCGTGAAGGACGCAAGTACGTTTTGACTTTGATATTTTCAACTTTGAAAATTGAAAGATCGCTCCCCACTAATGCAAAGAGAGTTTTCGCCTGTAAGAATTAGTAACAAAAGTTTCATCTTTTTTTAGCGAAATTGTAGTTCAGTGGATATTTTCTCATTTTAGGGCTGTCCCTTGTGGTTATCTGTAGTTCTGAGAATGAAGACAGAGCTCATATGGCTGCAGCACTTGATCAGTACAGACTTAGAACTATTCCGTATTGCGCTGTGTCAAAAGATATCAGGCAATATCTGCAGACACAATTCAAGGTGTGCTCTCGACTACAAGGAAAGCTGCAAGATAAGATCCTTCAATGGGAACCTGCTGCCATGGTGGACAAGGAAAAGTAAGGAGAGAAAAATGCACTCTTTCTCTTTGCAATGCACTTTTTTAGTGACTTCATTTTCTGTGAGTTCTGTGACCCTAAGAGTGGATTTCTACTGCCGCGTATTTTTTTACGTGCGTACGTGCGTAAAATTTACGTTCGCAAATAAAATAGAGGCAAAGAATAAACGGTCGTTCGTAAGCGTCTCAACAGCGTCTAAATCTCAACACTTTATATCTTGCGTCTATTCTATTTATGTGATTAACATTTACGTACGTTAACGTGCGTAGCAAAAAACGCGTCAGTGGAAATCAATCTTAAAGCTAAACCTTTGTATACGAGGGGTCCTATTTAGTTTTAATTATCCATTGGCCAAAAGCTAGTAAAAGTTAAGATAAGGAAACCCAAAAATGCACACAATTAAACAGAACGTAGACAATGTAAACAACGGCAGACAATGTCAGCAGCGCCACCTAAAACACTATTCCCACCATTAGCAGTACCAACTCCACTATCATTACGTACAGCACAACAACAATCCAACAACTGGCAAAATCAGCGACTGCATCAGCCTCTCATTAACACTAGCAACACCTTACCGACAGCATCAGCGACTCTTCTGACGACTACCAATGACACCAAACAAACCGCTACCATAGAAAACAACACCAACACGAAGCATATTTCAAAAGTAGGTTGAGTTTGATCGTCCGGGTGAACGTAGTCCTGAATAGGACTGTTGTTGTTGACAGTGACTCACGTTTCGACAACCTGTGCGGTAGTCATCTTCAGAGTCAAAGTGAGTTGTATCAGGTCAGTTGATGGTATTATACTCTGGTTATTGATCTGATTGGTCAATTACGTCGCGATGTTATTGGTCGTCTGTCAGTTAAGCCGGAGGACAAACCGGAGGGCAGACAGGGAGCAGTATACAAGATCAAATGCTGCGACTGCCAGGCTTCTTACATTGTGCAAACCGGCAGAAACCTAAGCACGCGACTGGCCGAACACAAACGAACGACGAGGAATGCTGACATCTCCAATCACATTGCTGAGCACCATTTAAAGACGAAACATCAAATTGACTGGGACTCTGCGAGATGTATGACGTATTCTACAGACTACTATCAACGTTTTATTTTAGAGAGCTGGTTTACTAACTTAGAACAAACACCACTGAATCGTAGCCAACCGTTACCAGCGCCGTACAAACGACTTATTGACGAGATCAAGCAAAACTAACTACGAGAGAACGACTGGAGAAGTGACAATTTGACTAACAATAGACGACTGTTTAACCGTGACAATAGACGGATCGAAACGCACCAATTACTGATTACGAGTCTTCATAGCCAATAACATCACGGCTTAACTGACAGACGACCAATAACATCGCGACGTAATTGACCAATCAGATCAATATCCAGAGTATAATACCATCAACGGACGTGATACAACTCACTTTGACTCTGAAGATGACTACCGCACAGGTTGTCGAAACGTGAGTCACTGTCAACAACAACAGTCCTATTCAGGACTACGTTCACCCGGACGATCAAACTCAACCTACTTTTGAAGTGACTCCTGGGCTCAAACCTTTCACACAGCATATTGTAAGGCAAGTATATCTAACAACATAACATAGCCAACGGTCCCGTCATCTACAGTACCAAACACCATTGCTACTAATAGGGAGCTCAAGCAACAACGACGGCGACGGCTAGGAAAACGTCACTTAAAAAGTGAAGTTGCGCTGCCTCAAACTTTGTCCCGAGTATTGCCTCGGGTTCAATTCGCCTAACGTTGGCTGTTTTGGCTGATTTCTAAAAGACCGTATCGAAGTTCAGGAAAAGAAAAAGAAAGTCGTTGTCTTGTGTTCACGTTTTTCAGAAAGAAAAAAGGCATTTTCACATCGTAGTCAACCAATTACGGTAAAGAAATGTACAAAAAAGGCATGATGCACCTGAAAAGTTGTTTTTTGCTAGTTGAACCTACTGCATTTTTGCCGTTCTCGTTGACGTCGCCGTCGTCGTTGCTTAAGCTCCCTAATCTCAGCAGCAGCAGCCGCGTCAATAGCACCACTGCCAACACCACCTTAAACACCAGCGTTATTAGCCTCAACCCATGAAAGTGACATTTTAGTGGCCACCGCCACTACCTTTTACAAAACACAGGCCAAACAGGATCAACAACAAGTGTGTCTTGTAATGTCTAAATTGACCTTTGTGTTTCCTATCTCTAAAAGAAACATTCCGTTCACCCCATACAGGTTGTCAGTGAGAGTTGTGTCCTCAGAAAGGGCAGGTTGCGGCAAGAGCTTGGTGGTTCAGCGACTTAGAGAACGCTTAGTTCAACTTGGAGACAATGATGCAGTATTGAGTTACCTCAGAGATGGGGAGGCAGATGTGCCTCTGTGTATCAGCATCCCAATTTATGGACCAGCTGTCGATCAGGGCTCCGTCGTGGAGTCCTTGTTACCACATATGATTGTTCCTGATCTGCCACTTTCCCGAATTTTTCACCTTGATGTCCATCCGTCGGTACTAAATGCTTTTTTTAGACAATATGTTTAAGCGTACTTTAAATGAATGTATATCACAGAAACGTATTAAAAAGGGCTGAGATAGCTACGATCTTAGAAATGTTGGAATTGGGCAAAATATTTTTATCCCACAAAAATACACTGAACACACTTGCCAATCAATAGGAAGGTATACTTAAGAACTGATTCGCTCCCATCTATTAACTGACCGTACCATCCTTGTGATGGTTGTATTTTGACAGGTGAAGAGTGGTCTTGACGCACTTCTGTTTAATCTCTTGATACTTGGTGTCTTGAAAAGTACTAGTGGACAGGTCTGGAGACGAAGATTATCTGATTTGTATGTGATTGAGCTAACGACGGGGCCAACACAAGGGGTCAACGAAACCGTTCAAAGGCGACCGGTACTTTCTAAGGTAGGGTTCACTTAATCGTTAAGCCATCATCAGAGTGGCCTAAGAGATACTGTGGGAGCATTTATCTTATTTCTCAAGGAAAGAACCGATCAATGAAGAGCGCTTTTTATATTTTAATGGCACCGATTTTTAAATCTTTAAAAAGACTTTCTGGACGATAGCTTGCATTGATGTCGCGTTTGCTTATCTTTTCTTATCTCTTAAATATTTCATTTTTGTGGTCAATCATGCTAGGGCCTTTGCGGTTATTTGGTTAGCCCTATTCAAAAATGCCATTAAGACCACTGGGTAAGTGGCTCGTGGGAGTTTACAAGATCTTTGTTTCACTGGTAAAGTCATTTTTTTAAAAGCTGAAATGATATAATAATAATGATAATATTAAATATTTATACAGCACAATTTAACATACAGGAGGATATGATCAAATGCGCTTTACATATTACAATTGAATACGAGATTACTATGTTACCTATTTACAATTTTGAATTTACAATAAAATGCGAAGATGTATACTATATGAAACACTATAAAGAAATTATAAATTAAACGCTTCTCTAAAATGAGTTTTAAGCAATGTCTTAAAGGTGTTGAAATTTTGCTGTGACTTTAATGATTGCGGGAGAATGTTCCAAATCTTGGCGGATGCATAGGAAAAGGCTCCATCGCCAAGCAATTTTTTCGATCGTCGTGAATGGTCTTCCAACTGGATACGGGTGCTCGAGCGGAGGTTGTATGTCGAAGTCTTCTTGCTGGCGACCATGCTTTTTTGATACTTGGCCCATGAATGCACTTGAAACAGAGCATAGCAATCTTGAAATTGATTCTAAACTTAATCGGCAGCCAGTGAAGACGTATAAATGACGATGTGATGTGTTCGTGTCTTGGCAATGATCACACCAATCGGAGTGCCGCGTTTTGCACCCGTTGGAGCTTGCAAAGGTTCGTAGCGGCAACACCATACAATAGTCTATTCTCGATATCACAATTGCCTGAACAATCGACTCTATCTTCAAAGCTAAGATATCGTTTAATGCGCCCAATATTATGCAGATGGTAAAGTCCTGATTGACAAGTCTTGTTGATAGCGGGGTTTTCATGCTCAGATGGTTGTCGAACGACGTCCCTAGGTTCCGAACGTTGCATACTGCAGACACTTCCTGTGATCAATGCTGAGCTCTGATATGCTTATCTTGTCCAATTGCGCGTGGGTTCCGATTACAATTAATTCCGTTTTGTCATCATTTATCTTAAGTTTGTCAGCCGTCATCCAAGTCTTGATGTGTAGAATGCAATCTTGTAAAGCAGTTACCGTTTCCAATTCCCTCGCCCTGGAACCAGGCTTAAATGAGATATATAACTAGTTATCGTCTGCGTATACATGAACATCTGGGAAGTGGCGCTTCACTTCCTCAAATAGCTTGCTGGCATAAAGTACAAAAACGCAGCGCCCCAGACACGAACCTTGCGGCACACCTTGAGGTAGAGAGAAATCCTCTGAGAAGCTCCCATTAAGTAATACATGCTGTGATCTACCAGCTAGGCAGGATGTGAACCACTGAAGTGCAGTATCTGCGATGCCAAAAGTTACCTCTAGACGACGGAGAAGTACTTCATGGTATTCAGTGTCAATGCTGAACTCAAGTCTAACAGCACTAGTAGAGTGAACCTCTGGTGATTCATGTTAAGCAAGATGTCATTGTGTACCTTAAGGAGAGCCGTCTCCGTGCTGTGGCCTACTCGATAGGCTGACTGGAGCGTTGGTTTGGTTGTACACTGCTCTCTCGGTAAGCTTCGACTCACAGGTCTAAGATCTGAAAGGGAGGCGCTTTAACAAGGTTTCTTGAGCTGTGGATCAACTAGAGCAGCTTTCCACGCAGCTGGAAAGTGTCCAAGAGCCAAGGAACAATTAACCATAGAAGTGATTATTGGGAGGAGTTCTTCAAGGCTGCCCAGTAAGATAGACGTTTGAAAAGGATCGAACATACAACTTTTCTTAGCTGAAGCCTTAATGAGCTGGTATAGATCCTTCTCTTTCACTTCCTTGAAAAGACTTAGTGGTTCGAGATTTGAGCTGAAAGCAGGGTCGTCAATGAGGTCACTACATCTGTTCTGGGTAACATCGATACCGTCTAGCTCATTGTGGATATTAACGATCTTACGATGGAAATAGCGGGCAATGTCATTTGCCACAGCCACAGCAGCAGGTCTTCAGCGAACTTTGTCTTTCTCCACGTTTGCTCAGCCTTCAGTCGCTTTCTTTTCGCCTCGGCAATTGCTTGGTTAAAACTCATGTTTTCTTTAAAAAAAGTTCAACAATTATTTTTCTTTAAACAAACAAGTCCATAGCTATGCCACTAGATACGCGAACGATTTTCACCTTCCTTTTTGTAGAACAAACCTTCGTAAATTTTTTCAGTTTCCAAGGACCTACTTATTATAAATCTATAGAAAATGTTATTAAAGAATCTAATTCTCTCCACTTATTGAAAACGAAATTGAAAAAGAACATTATATATGATATATTAGTTATAAATCTTGTAGTAAATAGCTATCTTTCTTCACATGCCTGATATTATTTTTATACTTATTGTTACATGTACCATACTTTATATTTTGTCAACTCAGTCTATGTAATTAGTTAATTTATACTTACCTTCATTGTATTTTACTTTCGATCCTGGCCTTACTGTTACTGTTAACTTTATTTTTACTGTGAGGGAGCCCAATGTTTATAAGCCTCATGGTTTCTTTTTGGGCTTCCTCGCCACTTTCATTTGCTTTTGTGTAACTGTCTTGTTTTATTGTTATTTGTATTTTGTGGTAAATCAAATAAAGTTACAAGTTAAAGTTACAAGTTACAAGTTGGTTGTACCAGGGGACCTGGGGCCTTGAACTCACTACTTTTTGTTACAGTGGTGCATGGCGATCTAGTGTACTGCTTAGGGTGGAGTTGTAACTTTGTACAAACTTGTCAAAATCTTCACAAGAGGATGGACACCCAACAATGCCTTGCAGGCACAGATCTAACTTCGCGATATCTTGCTTGAGGCAGTCAAGATCAACAGACTTGGTCTTCCAATGAGTCACCCTCTTGGCCTAGGGCGAGCCTTGTTTATGCGAATACTACAACAAACAACCGAATGATGAGAGAGCTAGCGACAACTGCATGGAGTTGATCCCAGCAGTGTCTCAGTTCTCCTCGTGATAACGAGATCTAACCTGTGACTAAAATTTAATATATGTGCGGTTCGGTAACGTGCTGTTCAAGCCCAACAAATTCAAGTAGATCAAGGAACTTCACCGCGTCGATACCATTTGGAACGTCCACGTGGATATTGAAATCCCCAACGACAAGCAAGCGTTCCTTTGATAAGATAACACATTCCATTAAATCAGCGAACTCCTTTAGGAAGGTGCTCGTGGGAACCCCGTGGTTTTCCGAAGGTTGTGTTCTATAAGCAATAATGATCCTGAGCTTGCAAGATGTCGGCAGTTGTACAAGTAGCTCAGAATAATCTATGGCCTCCTTCTCAGCAGATCTGACGGTACTAACTCTTAAGCAGTCACGGAAGAGTAATCCTATGCCCCCTCCACCCCTTTCCGAGCGAGGATAGTCAATTAGCTTATAACCAGTTGGGCGATGTTCGGCTCTGACTGCATCATCTCTCTTTTGTAGCCAGGTCTCGGTAATTGCGACGAGATCGTATTTGTTTTCGCATATATAGTCAACAAAGTCTGCCGTCTTATTTTTAACTGATTGCGTATTTAGTAAACAAAGCGACAACAGTCGACTATTGCCTGGTGTTTTATTCAGTGGAGCCCGTTTAATTTCAATAAGACTCGAGGTGTTACGAGCTGACCGACACTTTGCTCTAGATGCTTGTCCCAAGTGAGGAGAGTTGTTGTGAGGGACCAGGATTTAGTTTGAAAACTAAATCTCCTTCTAACAGCGGGTGGAATGTTGCGGTGCTATTAGCATAATATGCACAAGGGCTCTTGCTCCGCCTAGATCTCTTCTTGATGGAGAAGACATAGCCTCCTTTGTTCAACACAGATCCCGTTGGGTACACAGTTGTGACAGCTTTGCCATTGTTGTTCAACGGTAAAACAATAGACTCGTAAAATTCACTGTTTTGAAAGATCCAGGGTCTCAACGATAATTCTTGAAAATGCCAAATTATAGGGTTTTCTTGCCAGTTTTCAACGTGAAAAATAGCCCAGGACCGTCTCTCAGATATTAGACAGCTATCTCCCGAGTCATTTCTACTATAGATGCTCACCAAAAAGGAACAGCGCGAGTAAAAAGCCCGGAGAGCAGAGTGTCGTGTCTGACCTTCATTCTTTTGACCTATGATACGATAGCAGAAGAGATAGTAGAAGATAGTAGAAGAGTTCAGTGAAGGAAAGCATTTAATCGCTAAATTTGTGTTTTTTCAATAGCGCGACGTTCGAAAAGTCAAAGCAGAGCCTTTTTACAGGCTGCTTCCTTCCATTAAATGTGAAACACCGTTACGAACGTTGAGTCAGTTGAGGACTCAGAAAACGGGTAAGAAATTCTGTTTGAGCTGCCATTGGTTTGATTGAACAGATGTCCATCGTGCTTTATTTTAATTTATTGTAATTGGTACTACATTTGTATAAACACAAAGAACGTTTGTATGACTAAAAGATCCGAGTCACGCACGGGAAAAGATACGCCACCTGGTTCTTTTACTAGGGTCGTCTTCACATTCCTGTTACAATTGCAGAATCAGCAGTGTCGATGGGGATCCTTCGACTATAACTTGTACATTATACTAAAATCTCCTTAATCCCCAATATTCACATGCAAATTCTCTAGAATGATCAACGTACATCTAGTCATGGAATAAGTTGAATTTTTTCAAACGTATTCGAAGGATTTGGTGTCCTAAAAATGACAGCAATATTCACTCATACCATAACTTTTTTCTCTTTCCTTTTCCGTAGGTGGTATTAGTCTCAACCCTCTGTTTGACAATGGTGAATTTCAAAGCTCACATGTTCAACGGGCGTTTCAGTACCTGAGTTTTTGGGAGTCAGCAAGAAAGAAACTAAACCAATTCTCGTTTATACCAACTAAGGTGATGGGTGACCATGCAAAATGTATTGACACACTTGTAAGGTACACTCTATATAAAAATCTTTTTTCACCATTTCTTCAAGAATGGCCGAATTTGGCTATTAGTTCTTCGTGCGTCCACGAATAAAGGAGATTTCAAAATAGCCTTTGTAAGGTCATAATATAAGTTCATTTGTAGCTTGGTTTTGTACCTAGAGTTTGGATTTGACATACTTGGGCGGTGTCAAAAGTGACACAGTGTAAAAATAAACTGTTCCTTTTCAATAAACACGAGTTCTCAGTTTACAAGGCTTTTACTCTAGAGTCGTGCTCGCGCTATAAAATTACAAGGACAGCAAAACAATCATTTCGAAAAATAATCTTACTTGCCTCGTCAATTGTAGTGATGCCTATGGGAGATATGGAATGAACAGCTATATTTCCAATGAAATGAGAAGGATTTAGTGATCGTTTATGCACTTTTTTCAGAAATTGTGGCGTTGTGGACCCGTCATGGGCTGAACTCCGTCATTTTGTGAACTTCCTCGACTCTCAGCTCCAAGCTTGTGAAGCCAGTGCGTTTTGTAACATGAAACTTGTTGGAGACACTCTCAAGGGCTTTAGAAGCTTTGTGGTCCAATTCATGATCCTTATGTCACGGGTAAGAAATATGGAAAATGTGCGATCGCGAAGAATATGTGGCCCAGTTCCCAGGAGCTAAATGCTACCCACCCAAACCCTTGGAAACAGAGCCTGAAATCCGGAAGGCGGTGGGCGCCATCTATGTTATATACAGTGAATTATTATTTGACATGGATATTAACTAGATTGCCGATCTTTTCCATGTCTTAAAGTTTTTCGGTATGGCATTCTTTTTCAACTCTGTTTTCATTTGGGTTTATTTTGAACCAAACATTTTTTCAGGGAAATCAATATAACATCTTGACTATGTTCCTCAACGAAGCATTGAGAGAGTGACAAAATTAGGGTACCGTAAACCCTTTATTAAGTCCCCCAGGGGGCTCCTTTATTTCAAACACATTTGATAGGTGGTGGGGGGGGTATTTGGGACGTGGGGGCTACATATTTAGTTTACGCAAAGAAGATGGTATAACATCTCCATAAAGAACTACCGTGTAAAGTGGAAAAGCTCAAGTACAAGAAGTTGAAGGTCATGCAGCCGAGGATCGAAAACAAATCCGAACGTCTAGTGTGGATCAGTCCACACAGAGTTTTACTGTCGCTATTGATTAATACAGTCTATTATTTATTATTGAATGATAACAAGGGGGAGGGAGGGGGGCTTAAAAAAAGGGGGGCTCTTACTAACTATTTTCTCCTAAAAAGGGAAGACTTATTAGAGAGGAGGTAGCTAATTGAGAAGAGAGGAGTGGGCTTAATAGAGGATTTACGGTAGCTAACATTCCTGCTTTTTGTCCCCATTTCCAAACCCTTAAGGTGGTTAGTATGCATAATTTATGAACCAAAAAGCTCACAATTTAGTGTTGTCCCTATTGTACTGACATCTTCAAGTTCGTGGCAATTCGTTGTCCCTGTAATGAACTTCTTTTTTTAAGGATTTTGCTACACCATCTCTAAACGATGTTGCTGATGATGACGCAGAAGAAACAGCTGTTGTTCAGTTGTCTTTAAGAAGACACTGGGAAACCAGGTATGATTTTAAAACATTATAATTGGTAAAGTTAAGATTCATTTAAAGGGGGAGTCGCTTAAATCAAAGTATTCGATTTCTTGAAGCAATTTTCCCAGTTATTTTATCTCTTTGGTACTATTCGTGCTATGTAGTTTTAAAGTCTTATCAAGTTATGATGTTCCTGTTCAGATGAAAAAGTAAAATTTGTGGTATTTCCTATACTACTTTTACAAAGGTTGTCTAAGATTTGTAAAATATTATCCTTCCTTTCGCTTTTTTTTCTTTATTTTTGTTGATGTATTTTAATTTTTTTCAACAGCTTACATCCCTACATTTTCTTCAATCAAGATGGCGTTACCATGACGTTTGTTGGCTTCCATATTGACCAAAATGGCAATTTAATTGATCCAGACAGTCGTGTCATCATCCAGCCTAATTTGATGTCAGACCATTTACGTACTGGTCTTTTCATCCAAAAAGTTGACATGGAAACTAACTACGAATCTTGGAGCAAGTATGAAATATATATATATATATATATATATATATATATATATATATATATATACTTGTATTCTGGGTAGAACGTATTCCGTAGAGCGCTCAATTCATTTAATTGAAGAGCATTGATTATTAATAATCACAGGAGTTCAGTCTTCAGGAGTAATCATTGATCGTTTATTGCGACAGTGCTGTTTCGTATGGTCCGAAATTGTAGGACCACACTCATCAGGCAACTTCAACGATTGACCGTTAAAATTAAAAGCTGGCAGTAAATATAGGGATGCGTTAAGAGATAGTATCTAGGTAACAGATGGATTGTGTCTTAGTTATATATATATATATATATATTTATTTGACATGATATTTGTAGACTTTGATTCTTCTGTACCAAGTTTCTTACAACGTGTTTTCTTGTACCATGATGGGCTAAGGTTAAGGGGTTGTTTTTGTTTAACTTAGGGCACAGAAAATCGAGAAGCTTTGTGGAGTGATGGGTGTTGAATGGCCCAATGATCCGGATGATTCATACGAACTAACCACGGACAATTTAAAGAAAATTTTAGCCATCCACATGCGCTTCAGGTAAGTGAAATCCTTTAAAATTAGACATGAGAAATGTGTGATTACCTTCACACTCAAATAGCCCCATTTAAAATTACGAGCACTAAAGCCTCAACTGCATGGCAAATTAATTGTTAATTATTGGAGAGTTAATCATGTGACAAAAAAAGATCAAGTAACACTGGATAACCCGTACTTACGGATTCCAGCAGAAATGTGCACACCGCCACCACAATTTTCTTCTTTTCCTCCATCTCCACGACACAATTCTATTGTCTTTTCTCCCCCACTACCACTGCTGGAATTCCATTGTCTTCCCTCTTTCTCTACCACACTGCCACCGTTACGTTGCTTTCCCTGCTCCTCCTCCACCACCACATTTACGATTTCGTTGTCGTCCTCTTTTCTCCTCCAATCCGAAACGGTTATGTTGTTTTACCTTCTTTAAAAGCAACACGACGGCTTTATTGTCGTGTAATTCTTCTTTACCAAACAGCTGCGGCTACGCTCTCTTCACTTATATACGACCACCACAATTTTATCGTTGTCCTTTCTCCTCGACCACACTTTCACGATAACGTTGCCTTCTACTCTCCATCATTACCAGCACAATTTCCGTCGTCTTCCGTCCTTTCCCACCGCACAGCCCCGATTACGTTGTCTACACCTCTTCAAACCACCACCAGCGCCACCTTCGTGGTTATGTTTTCTTCCCTCGTCCGCCATCGCCATCACCCCCACAATTTTTTGGGCGCCCTTCCTCCACACCAGGAGGCTAATGTTATTTTTCACCGCTGCCACCACAATTTTATCGTCGTTCTTTCTTGTTCACCAACCTACCACAGTTACTGGTATGTTATCTTCCCTCCTCCACCACCTCCACCACAACTTTATTGTCGCCTTTCCCTCTTTACCACACTTCCACGGTTATCTTGTCTATCCTCCTTCACCGCACCGTCACGGTTCTGTTGTCTTCTCTTCTCCACCTCGATCACGACCAAAAAACTCCAGAAACCTGCTTGCGCTCCGTTAACCCGGTCACAGTTTTGGCCAAAGTCTTAGTATACTTTGTTTTTTCTTTTACACTGATACATTTGAAGATGTGGTATTCCTGTGGTCATAATGGGAGAGACAGGTTGTGGAAAAACCAGCCTTATTCGGTTCATGTGTGGCTTACAATCAGGACCCGGAGGACCCAAGAACATGTTGCTCATGAAGGTAAGAAACCACTAACTATCGTAAATCTCATTTATTCATTTTTATAATTGAATTTTTAGTTGGGGGAGATTTATGTTTTCCTTTTTATCTTAAAAACATGTCTTTACTAAAAAATAATCAGCGACCCTATTACCTTTAATTCCACATTTAGTGTTCATTATCTGGCTCTTGGCACTTTGGGAAGTAAAACGTTCGATAGAGTCAGTAATTCGTTCCTCATTGTGCCTTAACAGGTTCACGGAGGAACATCCCACAAAGACATTGAGAAGAAAGTGGAGGAGGCTGAGAAGATGGCCAGAAAGAACGAAAGCCATGGCATTGATACGGTGTTATTCTTTGATGAGGCCAACACAACAGATGCTCTAGGGATGATCAAAGAGGTTATGGTGGATCGCAGAGTCAACGGTAGAAAAATAGGAGTTGGGCTCAAAAGATTGCAATTCATTGCAGCATGTAATCCTTACAGAAAGTAAGCACGCATCTGCCTGGCCTGTTGTTGCTCTATCTTTAAGCAAATATACATGCTACTGACACATTTGTTTTGCTTGTAGACACACGGAACAAATGATCCATAAACTGGAATCAGCTGGCCTGGGTTACCATGTTGCAACTCAAGAAACACATGATCGGCTTGGTAAGACGAAGGCTTCTACGGCAGTAGTGAGCATTCCGTTTGCGGCATACTTTAAAATGTGAAGAAAATGCTCCTTTGGCTTCATTTGAACTTACCATAATGAGTCATGTTTCGAAAGTCTGAAGAAAAATAGCTCTGAAAAGTTTCTTTTGCTAATAGAGGAAACCTGCTACATCAAACTGACGTTAGAGTCAGTGTGTTACAAAATGGGAGAAAGCAGAAAGAACCAATTTAGATTTCATGAACAGATTGAAATACTTTTGGCATCTTTAGTTATCTTTACTTTGTACTCCCTTATTTAGTTTTCAGGAAAAAAAGTTCATTTGCTTTGTTTTATGCCAGGGCGCATTCCTCTTCGTCACCTGGTCTACAGAGTACATTCTCTGCCAGAGAGCATGCGTCCTTTGGTCTGGGACTTTGGCCAACTGAAACCTGAGATCGAGGAGCTCTATACGCGTCAAATTGTCAGCAGATTTGTAAGTGGACATAATATATGGATTTACACAGGGCTAAAAGCGAAGCTCCAATTAATAAAGTTGTAATTTAAATCATACAATAAACTTGTAATCCACAAATCAGTTAAATTAAGGGCATACTCATATGACTTTTGAGGGAAAGGCTAAGTTATTTTAGAGTGAAACATCTTACATTAAATTGATAGCCTTATATGTACACCTAAAAAATAGCAAACACCTTCCATCACATTCAAGATCACAGTAGATTAGCCCTCGAAAACAAATTCTTGGAAAACAAATCAGGCCGAATTTTTTTGGGTTCGACAGGTTTATTTACAAATTCTTGCCAACAAATCTGGGGGTGTGTAAACCAACCTTTTATAATTTTTATACATCACATCTGAGGTGAAACAGTACTATTTATCATACAGACCTCGGAAAGAATGCGGTATTTCACAAATTTTCAAGACAAATTGCACTCAGTCAATATTCAGGACGATCAATCGTGGGCTTTAAGCGAAACCGTTCCAAAATCACCCATACGGCCAGCTGGTTCTCATTTCTATAGGGCGAGCTGTCAGTGTAGTGGAGTGTTTGAATGAACTTTTTAAAATAGAGTTACGCTTCAACATAATAACGAAATTATTATTATTATTTTTTTGTTTTTTAATGGTTTCAGTTATAACGATGTGTAATCTTATAAAGTGTTTGATACGCGCGACATTTTTGAGTACCCCTGCAAGCGATGTTCATGAACGATGAAAACAAAAAGGCACGGACAAGCGATTAAAATTGCAAGAGAGACTACTAACAATCAATGAAAGAAATATAATTCGGTGAAACATATACAGAGACACCAATTTTCATTCACGAAGACAAGTATTAAAGTATCTCTAAAAATCCTGAGTCTTTAAGCGTAAAGCTTAAGTGTATGTTTTAAGCCGGCTTCCCGGCGCGGTGTTTACTGTTTTCAAAGATGAACTCCTCGAAGCAAGAAGATCGCTCAAAGTTTTCTTTCTACAGCCAAATTTATAACTAAATATTCTTCGTAACGTTTTTTTTCTATTTGCGGTGAGAAAATATATCTGAAGGCTTTTTAAAGGTCTGTAAGCTTATATCAAACCTGATACTAGGTCAGATAATTGATTCAAATCCTACAAACGTGCATAACCTTGCCGCATAAATTGTGCTCGACTTCATGAAATTAGATATAACAAAAACAAACATCAAATACAATAATTACCCAGGCTTACCATTCGAGATTCAGTTCCTGAAAGCTGTCAAGGAAGGCCGCAGTTAGTTGCTTGAGACGTTTAAACCCTCTTACGCATTAAGCAAGGTGAAAAGCGAAAAACGATGCCATCCAAAATCAAATTACCGAATTTGACAAGCGACGCATTTCTCAACCAAAAAACGAGAAAGCAAACAAGCCATGAATAAACAGAAGACTCTTGATAGCAGCTATATTTCAATTTGTACATCCAAAGGGAAAAGACAATTTTCAAGATGCTGCATGAATTCTCTGCATGAACTCACATGTCAAATTTTGACCAATCAGAGCATAAAAATTGGACCTAGAGCGTGACCAACGCGTGACCATGGTAAGAAAAGGTCTTCCCCGCCTGTATTTTTTAAAAAACTGGCTGAAGGTCAGTTAGAAATCACAATCCTAATGGTGCGGGGCCATAGTGACATAAACAGAACATATTTGATATGAATCATTGAAAAAAATAAACTTGAGCCCGCGATCATTTGAAACTAGTAATTTGTCAGCAGATAACCTCAAAACTACTCGACCTCGATGGGTCGACACTTAAGCCCGCGGTACAGTCAGTTGATAGTGGTCAGCGGATACCCTGTTTTGACAGCTGTCAATTGATCACAACATTGATGCGCAATTAGTTTTCTCTTGGGCTCCCAAACTAGTTAGAAAGTGTGAGAGTAAACATTGGTTATCCTGTGATGCGGACGGACGGGCGGGCGGGCGGGCGGGTGGTCGGTCGGTCGCTGTACGGTCACGTGATTACCAAATTTTCTCGGATGGGTAGATTACCACATTTCCTTAGCTATGGGGCTTCGCGCCTCGCGTGGAGCTTCGCTATAATGGTGTGAGACATAGCGTCTTACAGTGTGTTGGCAAGTAACTAAAATGTGTACCTTTGTGTCCGATGACGTTTTTCCTGCCGATTTTTTGACACAACAATTTTTGCTTGAGAATACAGCCGACATTTTGCGACAGGCCATCACTGGTTTCGCCGCGAACTGACGTCTAAAGAACAAGTGCAGAAATTCCATACTGATGACGTTGTCACTACTCTCGTCTAGGTAGTGCTCCTGATTGGTTGAAGCAAATTTCCCTCGCTGCACGACCAACCTGAAGCACTCCCCAGACATGGGTAACGACCAGGTTATCAGTGTGGAATTTCTGCGCTCGTTTCTCAGACGTCATTTCGCGAGGAAACTAGCGGTGGCGTGGAGAAATGTCAGCTGATTTCTCATAATATAACACTTTATACATTCTATGGAAGAATCGATTTTTAATCAGCAATTCTTGAAAACGTCTTAGTCAGTGTCAGTTGTCGCTGTCTACATGAACATCGCATAGCTATTTTACAGTGCAACCTATTTCATATTTGTGCTATTGAATAATTCTCTTGATGTGGTTTTCTATTTTCGTGTAAGATCCTTCAAGAAAAACAGATTCCAGGCGGTAAGCCTTTGGTCAGGGCTCTGACGAGAGTACTAACTGCTTCTCAGCGTTACATGAGAGATCAGACGGTAAAAAAAGTGCTTTTGTCGTGTTTTGTGTGCATCTCCTTTTCCATTTTGTATGAAATTAACGAAAAATTTAGACCCTTTTCAACAGTACAGCCAGTCTGAGAATTCTTGTTTGACTGTAATTTTTTGTTTACTGTTAATAGTCCATTTTACGGTTACAGGTGGAAACGAGGCTGGAGTTGACCTTGATTTTATACGATCCTTCTTTCTTTATTACGTAAATGTTTCTCGTGCAAACTAGTATTTTTAAGCAAACTTTCCATGAGAAAAGGAGGGAGGTTTGTATCAAAACAAGGTCAGTCTCAGCCTCGCTTTCACTCAAAGGCAAGGATACTAAGCTTACAACTGTAAAATGGTATTCTGTCTTACATGCCACTTCTCCGGCGACACCTAATTTTATTTCTCACATTACAGCTGATCTCAATGTATTGTACTACTTTATGGCCTTTCTATCCATGCCAGTAAGAACTCTGAAAGAAATTCTTGTCTTGCAAAAACTCACTTTTGTAGGATGAGTGTAGCTTTGTGAGCCTTCGAGATGTAGAACGCGCAATGAGAGTGATGGTCTGGTTCTACAACCATCGCGATGCTCTTAATCCTCTAATGGATGAAAAAATTGACGTGAAAGATGCAGAGGATGATTTGGATAAGGTAAAGGAGATTTGTCCTTTGAAGAGAAATAGACAGAATTGCATACTAAATAAGTATGTTCCTGAGAGACGTAATGGAATAAAAAAAACATTTTTGCTCATTTGAGAATATCTTTTTCATTACGTAAAGCATACGTGCGGTGTAGGAAAAAAGTTGTTTTTACGAATGTCATGACTCTGCACTTGTCACAAATACCCGCCTTAACTTTGTTTTAGCCCATTAATGGCGTGTCACGTGCCCTGGTGCTTTCAATTGGAGTGTGTTACCATGCAAGACTTCAAGAGAGAGAACCTTATCGGCGTGCAGTGGCTCCTAGCTTTTCCCGTCCATGCCAACTACCAGGTGGACATAAGCGAATTTTAAAGGAAATTAAAAGGTGGGCCACACTAGCAATTCATTATTTTAGAAGCAATGACTTCTTATTTGCTGCCACATCAGATGATACAAATACCTTTAACCGAGTTGTCATTGAGGTCGTTACACCCAAAGGCGATATGTTCACGATAGGCTGCGGTGTCTCCAGCAATTTGCAGTAGCTTAAGTGTATACGTTTTTCAGTGGTATCTTGAGGGATTCTTAGACATGAACGCGTAGAGAAATCGTGTAAGAAAAGCTAGAAATAAATAGTGCAGAACCTTTGCTACCAAGCTGGGTTACAAAGTAAATCAGGTTGGTGTTGATTTTATAAATGCATGTTTACTTTGTTTACGGACTTTCCGTTTTCGTCATCAGATGCCAAAAAGCAGTGCTGAAAGAGCTAGAACTGGGTCATAATATCGCACGTAACACAGCACTTAGTGAGAATGTGTTTATGATGGTAGTGTGCATTGAACTCAGGATTCCTTTGTTTGTGGTTGGTAAACCAGGCAGCTCTAAATCGTTAGCCAAGACCGTTGTGGCTGATAACATGGAAGGAGGTGCTTCAAGATCTGACCTTTTCAAGACCTTTAAGCAGGTGAAGCCAATGTACTGAAAAGAAGATTACGAATTTTTGTTACTGTATTGCAATTGTTAGAATGTATCAAACAATTGTGATAGAGTGGTAAGTAACCTTTATGAGAACGACTAGGACTATTTTGCTTAATGTCCTCTTAATGTCCTCACAGTATTGCGTTGTGTTGGATTGTGTTGAAATGTATTGTATTCAGATTGTTCGTCATGTTCTGAGGTTTGTTATTCATGAATGCCAATTTCGTGTTCCACAAGGTTCATATGGTGTCTTATCAGTGCAGCCCTCTCTCAACTGCTGAAGGGATCGTTGCGACTTTCCGTCAATGCGGCAAACTCCAAAAAGGCAAGAACCCAAAGAAGTTCGTGTCAGTTGTGGTCTTAGATGAAGTTGGCCTGGCTGAAGACTCGCCTCTAATGCCTCTTAAAACGCTCCATCCACTGCTGGAGGATGGCTTAAGTTCCACTGATGGCATCATAGAAGTAGAAGAAGAGTTTCCTGAAAGAGTAGCCTTTGTTGGAATATCCAACTGGGCCCTTGATCCTGCAAAAATGAATCGCGGTATCATGCTTTCTCGTGGGCTTCCAGACACAGAGGAACTAGTGGAAAGTGCAATGTAAGTTCTCCTCTGTTTTGGGACTAAGAATGGTATTCATAAGTAAAGGAAGGCCCAATAAAACGTTCGCTTTAGTCTCACGAAACAATTAATAAAAGTCCCTGACAACGCCCCTAACCCGGCTAACAATATGAGCTGCTGGTTATAGGGACCAATAAAGATAGAGACCTACGGGAGATGCAGACCAGAGTGAACACTTTTTATCAGATACACAAAACAGGACCATTTCTTTGTTACTGATATTTTCACACTAGATGTCCCACTTAATAAAAATTGACCATCAGCTAAATGTTGACTTTAATGAAGGCAGACCGGTTTGGTTCAACCTTAAATGAGGAAGACACTTTTTGAGGATGAAATATGTTTGCGGGCGACAAAAGGAGCCCGCCACCTATTCTTGATCAGCGGCACTCTTTTAACTGGATAGCCGGATTATTTCGATCGATTTGCATTCCTGTGTTGTACCGACTAATATGCATGGTATGAATGGTATGTGGCCTCGAAGGTTCTGGTGTTGAGTTCAAGGTCCGTCTGATGTCACTGTAATCACGTGAATGCACATGCAAGTGATGCAACAATCATTATCACACATTCGATTCGCAAGCACAGGTAATTCAGGTACACAAGTACTGCACTAAATGGGAGACTTTCCGATTCGCCTTGCCGGCCTGGAATCTATTTACCCAGGAAAATATAAGTAGAGCCTGATCTCAGCTTAGTGTGGGACAAGTTTTCGGTGAGATACGAGTTCTAGCAAAGTCTAGAAATCGATGTCAATTATAAAGTTTATTCAGGTTTCACAACAGTGCATGGTTTTTATATTTTTATACGTCTTCAAGCATGGTACGTCGCCTGTCATCCGAAAGCTTTAATAAGCTTTAAATTTAAGCTGTTTCATTATTTTGTATCGCATCTCAACGGCCTTTGGTCATTGAACACGGACTGAATATTCGATTGAATAAAAAGACTTCGTGCATGACTGCATAACAGCATTACTTGTGTCACGCATTATTGTGTTAATGTATCTTTACTGGCGAATATAATACAAACGTCTTACCTCGCTGATCGCTCCAAAAATATTCCAGACTAATTGTATCTAATCAAATACAAATAAAATCGTTTAATTAGATTATTATATGAGTCTTTTTTACTGTGTTGTCCAATCCAGTTTTCAATGAAAGGGATTCACCTACATATGAAAGCGGTTTCGCCCGCACTTCCTAGCCAACGGCTACTGCTAGTTTTAGGTTCAATAAAAAAATATACAGCTTTTCAAGGATGGGTGGTGGAAAGTGTTTCCACCTTAATTTGATGTAGTTGTAATTAAATAGTTTAACGAGCGTGATCCATCTTCTTTATATTACTCAGGGGCATATGTGCAACTGATATAAGAGTACAAAACTTTGTTGCTCCACTCATGAATCTACTGGCCCAAGGTTACAGCGAGTTATACCATGCACAGAAACGGTTAGAAGCTCTTCGGGAGTCTAAAAAGGAGGAATTTTTTGGGCTTCGTGATTTCTACAGGTAGGGATGTTCAAATGTAGTTTAACTTGTCAGTTCCGGCTTATTTTAAGCTCTTGTTACAGTCTCCTCAAGGTCCTTTTGAGAGCATTGGAATTTCGGAAATAACAGTGCTCTTCCCATTAATCAGTCCATCATGCAGTTATGTCCAGAAATTCTCGCAATGGCGAATCTGCAAAAAATCGCATAAGCGAATTTTCGCCAAATTCGCCATTTTCGTCAAAATTGCCTTTTCCAAGGGCCCCTTTGCCATCTCATTTGCCTTGAAAACTATACTTTGGCGAATTTTTGCCATATTCGTCAAATTGGCCATTATCGTCAAAATCGCTACTTTGGACGGCGCCCCTTTGCCATATCATTTGACTTGTTCATATTACTATGGCGAATTTTTGTCATTTTCAAAGTTTTCGCCAAATTTGCCATTTTCGACAAAATCGCCAATCTCAAATGGGACCATTGATCATTTTTAATTTCACTTGTTCCAAAGGCTTTGGCGAAGTTTCGCCTTATTCGCCATTTTCGTCATGAACGCGTCTTTCCAACTTTTCTTATCGCCGGCGTCTGGATCAGGTTATACAGCTATATATCAGGTTTATTGAAAACAGCTACAGTGTTATTTGTCTGTTTTGCTAAATGTCAACCTCTGTTAAAACCGAGGGCAAGTGCGAAGTCTATCTCACAGAAATTGACCCATTTTCCCGGCAAAGTTTTACACTTGGCTTTATTTCGAAACAAAACTTGAGTGCTTTGAAGCTTGCAAGAATGGCCTATTTCTTGTGGTTATATGTCAGGAATTTTATTTTTTTCTCAGTTTGACAGTTTTCAAACTCCTTGGATATTTTATCCCTGATCATGGTTGTAGCGTAGGAAATTCGAAATTAAAATGGGTTAAAAATGTTCAGATTATCACGAGCTAAAATCAGGACGTTAATGTTCAGATAAAACAAGCGTCGGTTGAATCATTCTATCCTCACATTGAATTTTAGCTTGGTAAAGATGGTGTACAAAACAGCTGAGGAGCATGGACGAGAGCCACGTTGGCCTGAAATTGAACGAGCCATCAGAAGGAATTTCGGGGGACTGGATGCGATTGACCCAGTGAAAATCTTCAGGAAACATATTCCTTTTAGCAGAACCGAAGTGGTAGGCGTGTTGAATAATTTGTTTGTTTTAAAGTTGCCTCTGCTATGCGTCCACCGTATTTCACAGGTAGGCAGTCGGTTCACTCAAAACCTTCGAAAGGTTATCAGGTTAGGTTGGGCCGGCATTCTGGGTGCAGACCTATAAGAACAGCTATCGATTACGTCAGTTAGTAATCGACCTTCCTTGTCGATTTTCTGCAATTAAGCGTTTGCACAGTAACGTCACTGGGGTGTAAATGTACTTTTCCTCGAAAAGGTTATAATAGTAATACTCGGCATTTTATAAGTACAACGTTTCCGAAACTATACAGAGATTTCTCCAGTGTTTTTTGTGATTCTTTGCGTTCTTACTCATTTCCTAGAAGAAGCAAAATAAAGATGCATTTTCTGCAGTAAACCTTATCAAAGCCAGCCTCGAACGCGAAATCTCCGGAGGGTAAGAGAGTCAACAAGATGCAGTACTGTGCAAAAAAAAAGAGAGAGCGAATTTCGCGAATTTCGACAAACAAATTACGAACTTTCGTTTCAGACGAAATTTCGGCGAAATTCCGGCGCATCTATTGTTCTAGTCCCTGCGAAATTTCGGAAACTAGGTGATGAACCGAAACGAAAATATGCGGCATAAACCGAAATTTGGTAGCGAAATTTCGAGAAAGCTTTTCGAAATTTCCTGTCATTAACTAAATTTCGGTTCGTGTTAAACGGTATTTCGCTTCGACGAACCGAAATTTCGTTATTGATTAGTTCTTAACTAACCAGGGCGCGGTTGTTTAAAAAAGGATAAAGATAACCAAGGATTAGAGGAAAATTTGACTTCAATTGTGAACGCCTACAAAGCAGATTCATATGGATTCTTTTTGCTTACCATTTCATATTTGGACGCTCTAAAATCACGAGTCGAAACAAGTATAAAAAGCGCTGTTGATTAAGCTGCTGACTATAAATTGTATTCTATGTTAGCGATCGTGTCGCAAACGGATCGCTACGATAATTGAACGTTGCTTCCAATCAATCCGTTTTTGAAGGATACTACCGATCGTATCAATCATACCGAAACCAGACCTTACATGTACATGCACCAGTAACAACATGAACCTCAGTAAGCAGAGAATCTTGTGAAGAAAATTTGAGACGGAACAACACTTGTTAATTTACGTATTGTTATTTGTGTTTTAATCTTACTAAATGAACGCGAGGTTTACTCGATATTCCTGTCCGTTCTTGGCAGATGCACTTTTAGAAACCGTCAAAACCCTTAAAAAAAAAAACTGTTGCGAACATTCGTGAACCTACATGATGGAAACCTGTTGCCTGTTAAGGGCCTGTTTACATGGAGTGGGGGACCTCGGTCTAGCGGGGTTGGTTTCTTTTGTTTTCACGCTCTGGAGGACACAAAACAAAAGAAACCTACCCCACTAGACCGGGGTCCCCCACTCCATGTAAACAGGGTCTTACTGTGCTTACTAAATTCATTGATTGCTTGTTTTCCTCTTCCCTCCAGAACTGAGTAAAACGAATTCAAAGTATCTACGCCGGATGGGAACGTCCCGTGTAAAGTCGTTCAAATTGTTCTTCGAACTTTCATGTTTTTAACTTACCGCAAGCGTGGAATGACAAATCGCTGACACAAAGGAAGGGACTTGAAGCGCAAACTTGTGAAATTTTATTGCTGAGATTATTTAAATCACAAGACTTTGCTTTTTGTCACACATATGTCATTTCAAAGTGAGATCAAGGCTACGATCGAGTCTTTCATGTAAGCTTTAAAATTTTGCTTTTTTAAATTAACTTGGCGTTAAGACTGAAGGAATCAGGGGCACCCAACGGCAATTTTCGGAAAATATCTCTTCGGAAGACGATTTGAGATCTAGAATTTTCGGATTAGTTGCTGTAAACTTTCTTGCTTGCCTGCCTCTCCTAGGATTTTCGAACATCTAAAAAATGGTATAATTGCCCATTTTTAACGGATTTTGACACTAAAAGAGGCCACCTAGAATTTTCGGGAGCCTTTTCCTGGCTGAAATTTTCGAGAAGCTAAGTTTTTATCCCTATAATTTTCGGATCAATAGACTTTCAGCCAGGAATCCGAACAGATGAAAAGTTTTTAGGGGATAAAAATATGCCTATATCTACCGTTTAAATACTAAACTACGTTCAACAATGCTGTGTTAAGTGGTTTTGAACTATATCCTCGTTGGGTGCCCCTGAGGAATATTAATGCCGAAAAAAATAAATTGTCAGGAATCAATTTATTAGCTCAGTTACGCTGAAATTAGAGAAAGTGCTTAACTGCAGGTCGAGCGATGGCTTCGGGTAAAAGTAACAATATGCAAATTTCTTAATTCGAGTTTATTTCAGCGGTAAATCTTTTGAGAGCGCTTATTTGTTGAGAGGTTTCTGAAGATTGCGGTAAAATAGAAGGAAGTTAAATGCGGACTGTAACCGGCCTTTCCCTCAAGTAACGTGCAATCGGTAGCTGGTTAAGAATAGGTAAGTTTCATTCTAAAAGATCAGAAAAGTTTTATTACGGGAACATTAACTTGGTTGTCTGTGTTGTGGGCAAATAGTGTTACTGATCTTTGTCGAACCAGATTGTGTGTTTCCATGAAAAAGTTTTAGAGAGAACTTAACTGTTTGTTAAGCTATAAATGCGAAGCAGATCGTTATCAACTAGTGTAGTGATCTTATGAAATTTGTCGCAACCAGCGCTCTGATGAACAATCCCGACAATCGAGGCGCCTATAGTGAAGCGATTCAAAGCAATGCAGGTAAAGGACGGAATTCGGCGAACTTCGCTCTCATTACTTTTGAACGGTGCTGTAAAATGACCCACTTCGTTTATCATTGATCACGTTTCATGGAAAATAAAATGGCCGTTTCACATTTCACGGACAATAAATTCGGCATTTCACGTTTCAAGAGAAAAAAATGTTTTATACGATCAGTTTTGCTTATTTTGGTTAAGAACTACAGCCAAAGAACTGCCTTGTTCGATGTTCCCACCATTTTGACGCTTCTTGTTCTTGGTGCTGTGAAAAGGAAACCGAGTTCTTTGTTTAGAAATTGAGGCTCCGCACCATCTTCTAATACAGAAACATTGTCATCCGAGGAGTCGTTATCGTATTCAGAGAGCTGGTCTGGTTTAGAAATTCCAGATGAAGATCCATCTAATCTTTCATCATCTTGTGGCACTTCACTGCCACAGTTCACGGTGAATTCAACACTCGATTCTCGTTTCACAGATAATTATTATGAAAAATCACGGCTCACGGCGATTACCAAACTCACGTTTCACGAGGAATAGAAAGGTGATTTCACAATTCATGGGGAATAAAACCAGCAATTCACGGTTCACGAAAATCCCCTTTACCGCCCTCTTCCCACTTGACGTTTTCATTTCAATAGAGAGAGTCGATACTTGTTGGTGCTGACAGAGAACTATGCAGCCTTGCCTATTGTTCAGCAGGAACTGCACAAAAAAGGCGAAGAACCCGTCGTAATTTTCGGCAGCAGCTTTCCCAAGGACCAAGAATACACTCAGGTACTAGCAGCTGTATTAAAGAGTAATTAAAAGTGTTGTCACTCGTGAGATGGATGTTTCGTTAATTAGACTGTTTCAGTAACAAGACTTGCTCTCTCCTCCGCAGAGTGTATAATAGTAAGTGTGTAGTAAGCCTGTAAGCCCTTCCCATCTTCCTTCGCGTAAGACACGAAGAGGCCTCTATGGAAGAGAGAGAAGAGTTAGCAGAAACATTGTTGAAGACATCAATATTTTAGGGCAATGGCCTGTATTTTACGTTACAACCCATAAAAACAACCTCTTCCATTTAACCAACCATTTACCTCCCAGGAACCAACTGACCTTAACCAACTACAGTTGAACCTCAACTTGGGGACTGAGGACAGTTTAGTAGCAGAGATGGAGCCGTTATGGAGATATACTGGAAAAGAGTCGGTTTTAAGATAGCTTGCTACCGTTTTTTAAAAGAAGAAAAATATCGTGTTAAAGTCATCAGGGTCCATCAGTTCTTTCTTTAAGCTGTGATCCCATGATCATTGGACTTCTATTAGCTGTTATAGCAATCTGTGGAATGTTTTGTTGGGTTGTCGTTTCATGTTTCAGATCTGCCGTGACATAAATCGAATTAAAGTGTGCATGGAAACGGGAAGAACTGTAATTCTTTTGAACTTGGAGAGCCTCTATGAAAGTCTGTATGACGCACTAAACCAGGTATAAGTGTCTGGCAATATTATATACACAACGTTCGGTATAAGTACAAGTCATTCTTTATAATGTCTTCTTCGTATTATTACTTGACATTTTAAAACTTCTTAAGTCAATCACTCATCAATAAATCTTCAAATAGATACACACATTTCTTGGCGTAAATTAAGCTTTATTGACTACCTTTATAACGGCGTTAACGTTTGCGATATATTATTTTTAATCTGCACTTCCAGTACTATGTGTATTTTGGAGGACAGAAATATGTGGATCTTGGCCTTGGAAGTCACCGTGTAAAATGTCGCGTCCACGATGAATTCAGGTAAAACGTCCTTAGACAGAACTTTCAGTCCGTGAACATCGCCCGTCAATACTTATACGTAATTTCTTGTCATAGTTTTGTCAGTTAATGAGGAACGCAAACTTTAATCACTTCAGAAGTAGGTTACAGTCGTAGAGCTAATGACATACTAACACACACACAAAACTAGTACAGGGGTTGCTCATATACCTTAAAGAGGGGGTTTCTAGAATGTTCCGACAAATACATAGTCAGTCTATTTATAGAGACTTACATAACGTTTGGGATAACGGTAGAGATCAGCAAATTGACATTCTAGAACGTTCTTATCTAAAAAGCAAATGTAGATGAATTCCAGAAAGTTCTAGATATCATAACAGTCATTGCCACACCAACAGTACATAAAAATAGTGTTTATGGCGTTTAGATGTTAAAGATTCGATTTAACCGCTCCAAACGCAGCCCGCAAGTTTTCGCTGGAAGAATTCAGGTCGTTTTATTACACTCCTTTATAACGAAGGTGCTTGGATATCTAATAGCTTCATTTTTGAATAATGTGACTTACGCGATGTGGTCTGGCAATTCTGCTTTAAGTAACGTTTACCAATTCATTTTCTGTCAAACAGATTGATTGTCATTGCTGAGAAAAATGTTGTGTACAGTAAGTTTCCGATTCCTCTCATCAATCGCTTGGAGAAACATTACCTGGTCACTTCAGCAAGTCTCAGTTCTCCACAAAAGGTCCTGGTGGACAAGTTGCAGGAATGGGTAAAAAGCTTTTCTCATGTCGACATGCCTCGTCACCAGCAATTAAGGTAAAGACAGAAAGTCAGCCAGGAATTTGTCAGTGTTTGTTAGGGCCAAAAGGCAGGTTTTTGTGTCCGATAAGCCCGAAACCACATCAACGAAGGACAAGAAAAGAAAAAATAGAAGAGCAAAGAAAAAGAAAGGAGGGGAAAAAATTGCCATGGTTGCACTCTTAGTTTTTATATTGGCTACGTTTTGGGGCGAAAACAAAACTGCTTGATGGAAGAGGTCTATTTGACAGTAACGTTTTCAAAAATTCTGTAAGATATATTTTTATTGTGCATGAGGTAAGAAACAAATTTGTAGACTGCAAAACATCCTCACTTTACGGATGGAACCCGCGTACTATTCCCCTAACAAAATACCCTCACTACTCACTTACATAACAACTTAAACTCGTCCCCAGGTCTTCTCGGTTAACGGTTCACGATTTGGCAATTTTTCTGCAAGATTGACGTCATTTTTCATATCGCAAAATTCTTCCAAATTCGGTCGACAATAGCTGGCTATGAATCATGTGTGGGATTTTAGCCAATCAGAAACAGAGAAATAGTTTGAATGAATAATAATGAAGTTTATTCATTTCTGATGTTTGTGATGTAATTTTGATCCTCACAGGAAGTACTCGCCTGGTGACGCATTTGTTGGTTACCATGCTGACACAGCAGCTTGCGCCGTACTGCAAGTAACCAGCAACATTGAAGAAAGCGAGTTCAGTGATAAACATTTGCAAGACAAGGTATAGTGAGACGTAATTTGGATGAATTTGAACCCAGTGTTGGCTAATTTAACCTTTTTGGTAGCTCATTAGTTTCTGGTACAGTATTTAATGCTAAGTTTCCTTCCAATCTGCTCTTTTTTCATCATAGCCGTTCAAAGAATCTGAGGTGGTGTCACAAATGGTCGTTTCTCCGTTTTCCAGAAGCACACTGCTTTTCTTTATCGTCTCTTTACCACTCTGTCTGTTAGCAAAGTGTGATGAAACCATTGATGAACCCATAGAATCGCATTCTTTTTACTGAAAGTGGTGGAAATACACCTTCATAAGTAGGAAAGTTAGTATTCACACACCTTATTTGCTTGATCGATTAACATTTGCTTGCCTTTCAGCTCTTCCAGGAATCGAAAGAATTGTTGTTACAATGCGCAACTCCAGATGCTGTTGTACGTCTGCTGTCTACACACCTTGCTCCCCAAGCAGACGAGCTCTGGACAAATTACTTTACAATACAGGAACATTCAAGTCTAACAGCTTTTCTAAGAAATGCGCTGACAATAGAGGGAGGGCATTCCGGAAAGTGGAGTTTAATTCAGGTGAGCGCTGATTTGATCTCGCGTCGGTAATTAATGAACCAGCACGTAATAACTGTGGAATAATATTGAATTTGATGTAACTAGGCTGTTAATTGTCATAACCACTATGACTTCTGTGTATTGCCGGAGATAACTTATTTCTTCTTGTAGGTGACAACTCATTCCAGATTGCTGTCGTCAAATGATTTGCAAGACATAGCACGTGCTACATCTCTACCCTTGCCAAACGTAACATGTCTAAGTCTTCAGCAGTTCCACACGGAACAACAGTTTTGCTCATCTGTGAGGTATACAAAATTAATTGCAAGTGTTAACTACTATTGCATTTCTAAACTTTAGGCAGATAGGAAGTGAGCTTACTTGCAGGGACGAGGGGGCAGAGGATATTTTTGAATGAGCATCATTTTTCCATATCCCACCTAAACAAAGGTGAGTAAGTTTTGCGTTCTAGAGATACTTTCGTCGTCCTTATGTCACAAGTACTTCCTTGACAACTGCAGAAAAAATTTACCTTATTTTGACCAATTAAACGAAATGGATTAAGAGCGATGTGCCGTTTTTAAAGCCTTTGCCGTCGTGGTTGCTTAAGCTTCCTAACAGCAGTCCAGCCGAAACATTTAACTCAAAGACTCAATCTATTGTTGCATGTTATCACCTTGTGATTTTATAGGGATTTCTTTGCACAACTTGGTGGGAGGAAAGGACTGCTTATCGTGCAATGCGATGCTGGAGACGTCAATCGTAATTTGATTCCCTGTGCCCGACACCTTCTCGTGGAACAAAGGACAACTGCAAAAGAAGATTTCAAAGAAAATTTTGGGAATGACCCTTCATCATTTCTGCATGTAGTTATGATTATTCAACTTCCTCGACTTGTCGGAGGCTGTGGAGCATTTGCTGGTTTCCAGGGAGGAAGGAAGCTGTCTGTTCACATTGACGAACTTCGACCGCCAACTGGTCACATCCCAGCCATTCAATTCATGGTGGATCGGTCAATGAGTGAGTTATTTGATGTTGCATCAAGCAGCATACGGGTGGACAAAAAAATACGTTGAGGCAGCGAGAGATGACATGGAAGTCGACGAACAGAGTGATGCTATTGCGGATAGAGTAAATATCGTCAGCCTTTTTGAGAAGCTGTGTTCAAGCAGCTATTGCAAGAATTGATGCTGAACCATGGCGCTCATCACGATCAACACGGCGAATTGAGCTTATGCTGAGTCTTCTTCGAGACGGTAGAACAGATGGGACTGGTAAGGGTGGCGTTCAGTTATCTTTAATTATTCCCTCGTTATGATTGTCTCAAGTTTCACAACATTATACCAAGCCAGTGGACTCCTTGCAAAGTATGAAACAGTTTGAAGTCACTGCGATTCCTTAGACAACTGCCCGTGCTGAGCGTTTTGTCAACAAGGATCTTTCTTCATGGTTTGATTGGCTTCTAGTAACCAATTGATCATGTCAGCAACATTTTTTCTTCTTACTTTATAGATCTATCATTTGCTACTATTCTGGCTCGACGAATCCACAAACTTCTTCAAGAAAAGGATGAACGGGCTGGAAATAAGGCAAATGACTGGCTACGCTCTGAGGCTTTAAGCGGTACTGGAATCCAAGAAAATGGAACATTCAGGAAAGCCCTGTGGCAAAGAGTCTATTCATCAGTTATTTCAATTCTTTCTGAAGTAATCGCTTTCGTTGACCGTGACTCCAACCTAGACCTGCTGATGGATGGAGGGAATTGGTTTTCAAGTCTTTGGCTAGGGTTTTTCCAAAGTGAAAACATAGTCGAACTTCATTATGAGAGCTTTTTGTCGCTGGAAAGTGATATCATACGAGAACGTGTTCCTGTGGTCACCTCGGGTCGTGAAAAGCAGTCGTTTGAACTGCAGTTTCCTTTCTCTTGGATAATTAAGGAAAGAATTGATGCCATGTGGAGGGAGGCTTCGAGCATTGCTGGTGAGACACTTTTTTTCTTTTAAAAAAGAGTTGTTTCATTTTTCATATTGTCTCTGAAAAACGTCTACGATCTCATCTTGATACTGTTGTGTCCTTTGTTGTCCTTAGCGGGATCAAACACGCCAATTCAACAGTGTTTACATGACCTTGTAAACAATAGTGAAATGGGCCGTTTTCTTGACGAGTCTTCGTTAGAAGGTTGTAAAGAAGCTGCCGTTGAGCGTTATCTTCATGATTTTGTTCACATGGTGCTGAAGCCATTAGTACCTGAAGAGGAAGAGGTATAAGGCATAATTTCCGGAATGTTACTGGTGTTTTCCTACCCTGCACTGATTAAGATTATTTTGCATTATATACTAGGGTTTTTTTTTTAATCCATAAGAATTGTTTTGAGCCGTTTTATATGCCTATTTTCTATTTTGAGAAATTCTCAACTTAAAACTGACGTTTGCCGTTTGCCGTAAACGTGACTCTGAATCTCTCAAATGTCTTAATAATGTCATGTACACTACTGGACCTTTTTGTGAATGAGGGTTGCAAGTAAAGCAAATCTTTCTCGTAGACACTGCAATAATATACTGGTAAGAGCTCACCGCTAGCCTTTTTTTGATTTTGTTTTAGCTACTCCGTCAGGCTATTGTCACAGCCGCTCGCGAATGGTATGTCGACTCGAATTTTTCAGAGGAGTTTAATCTCAGCATCCCTCTTATCCATGTTGTGTATGACGCCATCGAGAAACGCTTGGCAAATTTCAGCCAACTGTTACATGCGCAGCGGGACATTGTAAGCGGTCTTCTAGAAGTCATTCCGCCCAACGAACAGGAGATGGTAAGAAAGGGTATAAGTTAGGTAGCCTAATAATTAATATGTCCCATGACTGGGCTTTCGAGGGCACAGGAAAGAAACTAAGTAGTCTACTAGACGGTTTTCTTTTTTTGGGCACAAACCCGAAGCTACGTTTTGTTGTTACTTCGCATCTTGCAAAGTGTTCTTGAAAACTGTAATCGTAATGTAAGTGTTCTGCACTCACATAAATTACTTAGCACTAAAAATGTATATTTGGTAAAACACACTCCCTGTAATACTTTCTGCTTTGAAGAAAGTAGTAGTTGTCATGTGGTTTGTAGGACCTAATGCACATATTTCCCTCAGAAACTCTACGGAATAGATGCAAAAATATGTTGTTTACTTTCTGTGAATGGACTTGTATGAAAAGCCGACCAATAACCCTATTGAACACTTTCTTTCATGGATACATTACCTATTACTCCCTACTCCACAGTGTTTTCACAAAGCTTAGGCAGAGAAACTCGAAAGCACAACCAGCACCAACTTTGTCCCAAGACAGTGAATGTAATGAAGAAAGATATCAAACTTAAACATGGCCGGATAACACTATCTGACCGTCTATTGTAGTGTAGTAGCTTCTGACTACTAACCTTGTGATTTGCGAGGGAGAAACCCGACTCCTGGCACAAAACATTTACTCTCGGAAATCCTTGCTGTGACTATCTAAAGCTCGTGCCTCTGGGCTACCCATGACTGTTTCCTTAACTTCTTGAATCCAACATTTAGGTCCTTGATGCAGTTGCCCTTCGGTTGTGTTTGTCACAGCTTGAACCAAGAGCAGAAGAGTTCGCTGATTCTCAGACTTGCTTAGTGTGGTGCAACAGAGTCCTGTCCATCAGATCAAGCGCCGAAAACATGCTTTACAGCAAATCACAGTATGGACCTAAATCAACTCAGATTCTTAATCATTGCAGGTCTGTGACGAGCAATTTAGTGATACCTGGAAAAACGATCCTTGTAGTCTGTTGCAAATCTCTGGTAAATCCTTATTACACTAAGGACAGCCTAAAAAACAAGTATTGTAAATTTAGAATTCTTGCAATAGCTCTTTTACTGCTAATAAAGGCCGAAGAAATTTGAAATTTCTTTTTGCAAATTCCACGAAATAAATAGCAATATGAAAACTTTCTGCAAAAGAGGCTTCATGTGAATAGTAATACTATAGGATTCCATCCACAGATAAAGAACTTAGATTGACATGATGTTTGAGCCAAAAGGTTTATGTAAAATACGTTCTCTTCATAATAGGTTCCTTGATCTTTCGGTTCACAGTGGTTTAGACCTCTTTTTCCTGGTCTTTATCAGGCGATGATCAAAACAGATCTGATGAAGACCAGCAGGACGCTGTTGAAACTTGGCGATCAATAGGAAAGTGACTGACGTCTAGAATTCCAAATTATGTTGATTATTACTTTCCATGCTATTCTCTTCTTTATTTCGCCATCCCAACAGGTCAACTTGGCAAAGAGTGTGCGCTGTAAGACTGTTTATAGAACACACCTGTCTTGGTTCATCGACATGTCATCCAGCGGATGACGTAAATGCTTTCAAGCTTTGGAAGGTGAGAATCAACCTTTTCTACCCATCCCCAAGCTTTGGAACGAGGTTGGGTGAGAATAGAAGGCACCGTGGTACTCTCGTCTTTTCTATGTATTTTAGCCGGTGACTTTAAGTTAAACTAGCAAGAGTGTTCCATTAAGTTGTAGATCCCGAGCTTTTAGATGCCTTACTCCTCAAGGGTTATACTTAGAGTGCCGTAACTTGAGCCCCAGACAAAGTTCAGTCGTCAAAATTGCCTGATGAGTGTGGTCGTTTCACCATACGAAACAGTTCTGTAGCAATAAAACGATGATTACTCGTGAAACCTGAACTTCTGTGAAGTTATATGTAGATATATATGTATATATATATATATATATATATATATATATGTATAATTTCTTAGAAAAAGCAGCGTTTTTACAAAAATATATTTTTTGTTAGAAAGTTGATTTTTTTATGTAAAAAAGATGTATTTTTACAGAAAAAATTTTTGTAACAAAGCTGCTTTTCATGTAAAAAAGCCTATTTCTGTAAATAATGCCTTATTTGTGATATTGTGCTTATTTACACACACATAAATAGGCAGCTTCTTGGTTTTTACTGAACCACATTGATGTGCTTCTCAATGATTCTTAAATCAAGTTCGCGCTCCTATTTTACAACAGCCTGTAGGTTGGTTGTAGAAGTTCTTTCGTTTACTATTATTATTGTGTGAGCCGAAAACTGTACTGTTATGCATCCTTTTTTCCAAGGTTATCAGGTGCAATAATTGGTTTAAATGTCAACAAAACACTTGGCTATATTATAAATGAAGTCACTCTGTTTACATACATTGATAAGGGGCAGGATGCAAGACGCGTGCACGCGTGGTCCAAGTTGTTAAGAAATTATATGTTACTCATTCATTTTAGCATTGAAAGTCCGAGAAACAAAATAATGCAACTCGATTAGTGTCATCTTACCCCGGGGGGGAAGGGCCTGATATAAACCATATAGGTATGTGCCGCCCCAAAGGGTAGGAATTTTGCGCCGTGTTGGCCTGTAGACGGGTCCCATTAAGTACGGCTGTGTATCAATGTGTTCGTCTTTTCAATTCCAAAAAAGAAGAAAGTGTAATATGTGGATTCGAAATGACTTTTAAGAAATCTGTTTGTTGCGGTTTTCGTCTTATCAATGATAACATAATTTCTGTTTCCAAACACGTAATGTTGTGTTTTGTTACCACCTCCAGAACTGAAAAAGGATGTGGGAAATGACATTTTTTTTGGTCCGAAATACTGCCAGGATTTGGAGAACCGGGCGGCGGCACACCCCTACCAAGAATTCCCTTTATTCCTTTTATGCCTTTTATTCCCCAGAACTATAACAATTCTATTTATAACAGTGCTTCCTGTCATCCCTTTTTATTTCTTTTTTTAAAATTCATTTTTAAATCTCAGAAAGCATAACATTGCAACCTTCTTTTCAAGGACACCAATGAAATGAAACAACAACAGACATTTGATAATGCGGAAAAAAAAAAATTGTTCTGACTGCCGGACATACAACAAAAGACTTTAGGGGTGCCCGGGTCTAATATGAAAAACCGAACTATGAGAAATTCATGCCAATGGCCTTTTGGATGTCTTCTTTTGATATCTGCGAGAGCTCTGATTCATCATCCTTCACCTCTCCAAAGGAGTCAGAGCATAGCCTTTCGGCGAGGCTTTCCTTCGCTAGCTCAAATAAACGATCACAAAACCCCGCATTCCACGCCTTTCTAAAATCCTCCGGGGTGTGCAGAGCGATCAGATTACCCAATTCCTGTACTGTTATGTCAGTATTGAAACCACGCGTTTGAAGCTTCCGCATGAAAATATCAGCAAGTTCTTCGCACGTGAAGTCATCACATATGAACATTGCTCTTATTCTACGCCTAAAACCGGGGTTCAATTTTATGAACTCTTCCATCCGAGCTGGGTATCCAGCAAATGTCATCACTGGATTACCTCGGAGCATGGCTTCCATCAAGGTAATCCTTCTCGGAGTCCACCTTCAGACGATACGCCTCATCTACGAAAAGTACGCCGCCCTCTGCCCGCTCGATACACACTTTCGTCTGGAGGCAGTCTGCCCGAGAAACGAGGCAACAAGATCGGGTCGTTGAACTTCGACCAACTTTGATGTTTTGGTAATTCCCAGGTCTTTCAAGATGCCTAGAAAAATATAAATACATTTTAACCTCCATTAAGCAGCTACCCTCCGGGTACCTGTAAGTGATCACTTAATAGAGATTAGCCGGTCGATAGAGGTTCATCAGCAGAAACTTCGCTTTATTTTGAAACAAGTGCGCGAGGGAAGGTGTGTTACGGGTCCACAATTGGCCGTCACCTTCTATAACGACGATACTTTCCTTCATCATATTCGTAACTAGACGTACGACTGGTTAATTAAGGTGACAACAATAGAATAACCCGTTGTCGGTTGCCGCTGTCGCTCAGTGGAGGTGGCGGCTTGAAATGTGTATAACTTCTTAGTCCAGTCATTCGTTCCTACAATTTGATCACTGGCCGCTTATAAGAGGTTGCCCTCTTATTGAGGGCGCAACTGTTATTTGGCTGATGCCAGTAATCGGGAATTCACACACCTGCCATCAACCTCCCTATCGTCATTTTCCCAGTTCCCGGATTACCCATGAGCACCATGTGGTAAACAGGTGGATCTTTCTTGTCTTTACCAGAGGCCCCTGCTGTAATTTTATAGGACGCCCGCTACGAAATACAGATAGCCAGGTGAAAAAATAAAGTCAAGACGTTAACATTGCTACCGTTGGGTATTGTAGAACAACTGGCTTTCGGTCCCCGTCAAACTGTAACCTATTCAGATTTTATTGGTAGTCGGGAATGGGAAAATAATGATATTGAAAGAAACGACAGGTAGATGTACGATGAATTAAACGTACGTGTGACACTAACCATTCGCGGGAAGTCGCTGTAATCCTCACAATACTGGTGTAATGCCCCAATTCATGGCTTATTGCTCCCCACAATATCACGTTATTGGCACTGGACCCGTAAAGGGGCATTAATTCACCAGGATTAGAAAGGGAAAACTCCGATAACGTCAATGGAATGTCAACTTTAGCCTGCAAGAAAATTAAAAATAAAGTGCACTTTAATGGTTGGTTTTCACAAATCTTTTAAGTCAGGTTTGGTAACCCAAACATCATGTGCTGATGCATGTCAAAATTTAACTACAACTTCAGGTTTTCTTACGTTAACTGTACGGTTCAGGCAAATAGCAAATAAGTTTGCAAGTCTTCTATACTTGATCACTCTTCGTGGTGCCGCTGATAGCTCTATATCCTATGACGCAGAAAAGAAAAACAGAAATGAAAACGTCAGTAGGCTATGTCGCAAAAAGGTCAGGTATAAACACATGAAGAACTAATCAGATTATCGAGTTTCATTGGCTACATTTCAAATAGGATGAATATCGGAATATCTTTTGCTTACCTTGGTGACTCCTGTCTGCACGACCTCCAATAAACGAGTAAGTGAGTCTCCTTCCTCCCAACTGGCCGGCACGATTAGATAGTTACACGGAGACAATGGACACTGAGTTAAGAAAATCATTTAATGCTGTTATTTGAACAATAATTTGTCCTTTTTGTTTCCATGTATCTTGGAAGGGAATGAACAAATTTACACTGACCGGATGCTTTAAGTTAATTCTCCCAAAAAAGAAGACGCAATAATATCTGCATGCTGCGTTATTTTGCCTACTCAAGACACATTTATAATAAAAACCGGTTACTGAATTTTTCATTCCAAAACCGAAACAACAGTACGTTACCAACTATGACGCCATCCAAAAGCCGGCTTTAGATGACCAAGCGTAGCGACAGGATTTTATAAACAGTTTTATTTCTTGATTAATATTTGTTAGTTGAGAAAAAGGATACTGTCGATGAAGACGTTCCCATTTTCATTATCTGCATCGGAGTCATGCACACGACTATAATACGTTTCTTTGAAAGACTTGCACGTCCCCTCAAAGAGACCATCCTGGTCCTTTAATTAAAAATGGTAATGCATCACTGTTCAGCCATTGTCAACGTTTGTCAAGTTGCCCCACCCTTTCAATGCCCCATTTTGATAGTGAACTTAACCGGAGGCGTATTTTCAGCGACGGGCTGCAACT